CCGTAAACTCAGTGCCTGGCACACAGGAGATACTCAAGATGTTTGTTGAATGAGTGCAGCTCCCCCCCCTTTTTAAAAAGATTTTAAAGATTTTATTTATTTATTCATGAGAAACACACAGAGAGAGAGGCAGAGACATAGGCAGAGGGAGAAGCAGGCTCCCTGCGGGGACCCTGACGTGGGACTTGATCCCAGGACCCTGGGATCATGCCCTGGGCTGAAGGCAGACACTCAACCACTGAGCCACCCAGGGGACCCTGAATGCAGCTTTCCAGTGTCCCCTTCTATCTGAGCCACTAAAGGCCACACCCCTCATGATTAAGAGAGGTAAAGTGTGGGAATTACTCAGGGCACAGGATAAGCTCCCAGCCATGTCCACGCCCCCCTCCCCCAAGCCAGGGGCTGGATTTAGGGCCACAGCGGTCCTTAAATAGAAATGCCCTGGCTGCTGAGGTGACCCCTCCTGACGTGAGGACTCACCCCCTCTGCCTTTTCCTTTGCTCTTCCTTTTGCTGAATCATTTTGCTTCCTTGCTGTTTGTGTTCAGCCTTCTGGAAGCTAAGGCATTTCCCAGGAGGGAGTGGATTCTACCAGGGCTGAGAAAAAGCCAGGTGGCAGAGGGCCAGGAACATGGACTCAGACACAGCTGGGGCCTTGGTTCCTGCCCCAGCCGCATGGTGGTGGGCCCTCTGCGTCTCTGTTTGCCCCTCTGTAAAACGGGGATCATCCCAGGGCCCAACAGGGTTCCTGTGGCAGTGGGAATGAAGTGTGGTCAGCAAAGCGCTCAGCTGACAGGTGCCTGGCATACAGTAAGTGCTCACAGAGGGGAGATGGAATTACAAGTATTTATGCAGTACCTAATGTGTGCTAAGCACTGCTCTGCGCTAGGGGATTAGCGGTGACCAAAACCATAATAGATAAAAATGTTATGATTATTATGGAGAGAGCAAGTGTTGAATTCTTCATCTTCCCCACCCTAATCCCCTGGCCTTGGGCTCCCCATCATCTTGTTTGTCCAACTTGATCCCATGCCCATGGACAAGGTGTGGACCCTTTACTCAAGGGGAAGGAAGCTATAGACCAGGCTGCAACCAGATTGATGATGATGATGATGATGATTTATAAAGATTTTATTTATTCATTTATTTGAGAGAGAGGGAGAGCGCATAAGAGAGAATATGAGCAGGGGTGACAGAGGGGAGGGGAGCAGAGGGAGAGGGAGAAGCAGACACCCTGCTGAGCGTGGAGTCCAATTCGGGGCTTGATCCCACAACCCCTAGATCACGACCTGAGCCAAAACCACCGACTGAGCCACCCAGGCACCTCAGACCAACCAGAATTCTATCTTGGTCTGTCTGTCTCTCTGTTCAGCTTTCTCTCTTCCTATCTCTGCCTTTTGCAAGAGGAGATTCAGAATCTGCAAAGAAGCCTGCGCTGTCACTCAGTTAGGGTCTGGCAGGAAACCCTGGCCGCAAAGAGGAGAATGGAGCTCCTGAGCAGAGATGAGGCCAGAGATGGCACCCCCAGGAGGAGGAGGGAGCCCTTGCGTTTTGGACAACTATTTCCCACCAGCTCTGCTGGGCTCCCCACCCATTCATTTATTCAGCAGTGTGTCTGGCCCTGTTCTAGGCTCCAAGGAGACAGCTGTGAACCCAGGGCTCCTGGAGCCGACATCCCGGGGGCTACCCTGGGGCCCTACAAGGCTCCCTACACCGTGAGGCAGTTGCAGAGAGCTTCTGTCCTTACAACCCGAGCCTCGGTTTGAATACATCCTGCTGCACTGGCCTCCGAGGATGCCCCTCCTGCTCTCCTGCCTCAGTCATGCTGGCTCCCTGCCAGCTCAGTTCATGAGCCCTGCAGCTTCCTGCAGGCGGCCCTTTGCACAGACCAAACCCTCTGCCCAAACCCCTCCCAAAGCTCCTTTCCCCTCTGCTTGGAACTGCTGGTCATCATTCAAGCTTTGTTGAAGGACTGCCTTCCCAGGCAACCTCCCTGCTACCCCTAGGAACGCTCTCATCATCTCTGTGTTCATGGTCCCTGCACTGATCCCTGCACTGATCATAGTGATCTGTTGTGTGTGTGTGTGATTATTCATTAATATCTATCTCTCCTGCCAGGCTGTGAGCCCCTGTAGGGTAGGGCCAGGGCTGCCTCGGCCTGCACTGTGTCCCCAGCACTGCCCAGTATAATCCAGACACAGAGGTGGCCTTGAGGAAGAGGGACTTGGGGGAAGCTTTGGTGAAGGGATGGGTGAATGAGCAGCTCCACATCTGCAGAGGCAGCTACGTGTCTCATTCAGGTGGCCCTGCACTTGAATCCCAACCCTGTCACTGATTCGATGACTGGATGCCTGATAGTTGGGGCATGCCTTTTTCCACCTGAGCCTCCACTTCTTTCTGGATAGACAAGATTCAGCCCATACTTAACCGTGGCTGGGTTAAACTGTGAATCAGATCAGTCCTCTGCTTTAAACCCCCGAGTGGCTTCTTTCAATCTCTCCACAACCGACAAGCCTGGTCCCTGTGTGCCTCGCGGACCTCAACTCCTAACGCCCAACTTGCTCACTGCCTTATAGCCATGGCATCCTTCTGTCCATATGCTTTGAACACACCAAGCTAGTCTTGCCTCGGGGCCTTTGCACTTGCTGTTCCCTCTGTGAGGAACTCTATCCCTCAGAAATCTGTAGGGCTCCCTTCCTTTCCTCTGCTCAAATGTCACTTTTTTTGGCAAGGCCTCTATGATGACCTCCCATTCATTCCAGGTCACATTACCCTGTTTAATTTTTTTAAAAAGATTTTATTCATTTATTCATGAGATACTCAGGGGGGCAGAGAGAGAGAGAGAGAGAGAGAGAGAGAGAGAGAGGCAGGGACACAGGCAGAGGGAGAAGCAGGCTCCACACAAGGAGCCCGATGTGGGACTCAATCCAGGGACCCTGGGATCACGCCCTGGGCTGAAGGCAGGTGCCAAACCGCTGAGCCACCCAGGGATCCCCCTAATTTTTTTTTATTGGACAAGTCATAACTTCTCTGTGCCTTAGTTTCCTCATCCATAAAATGAGTCCAATAATATCACCTACCTTACAGGACTGCAGTGAGGATTAAATGAATTATACATACAGTGGGCATATAATAGGCACCAAATAGTGTTAGCTATAACTATTATTGTTAATGTCCCTGAAATATGATCTTATTTTATTATTTACATGCACATTATCAGCATCCCACGTATGAAAGAAGGCAAGGAGATTCCCCCCCCCCCCCCCCCGTTTTCTCTGCTTTGAGAGGAAATGATTAAGCTCCCAGACTCTGCCATTGTGACTTTGTGGGATCAAATCCTTGGTCTACTCCACTCTGCCTCAGTTTCCTCAACTGTAAAATGAAGACAATAATGGTACCTGCCTCATGGAGTTTTTGGTTTCGAAAGTTTTCACTCAGGGGCACTTGGGTGGTTCAGTCAGTTAAGTGTCTGACTCTTGATTTCAACTCAGGTCATGATGATCTCAGGGTTGTGAGATTGAGCCTCAAATCAGGCCTCACACTCAGGGTGGGATCTGCTTGAGATTTCTCTTTTCCCCCTCCCTCTAGCCTTCCCTCCACTCTCTCTCTTCAAAAAAAAAAAAAAAGAGAGAGAGAGAAAGTTTTCGTTCATTTCTTTATTCAACAAACATTAACTGAGAACCCACTGTGTCCACCCGCTGCTGTGGTAGATGTCGGATGATAAAAGGACCAGTATGTTTTCACTCTCTTGCTTTGACGAATTACTCTCCTCATGAGACATATTTGGAATGTGACACATCGGAGCACATTATGAAAATCACAGAGGTAATGAGATGACCAGAGTCCTCTGGGGACACAGATGGTTAATGACCAAGTCTGCCTGGGAGAGTTGAGAAGTTATTTTATTCCTCTAGCTCTATTGAGATGTAAATGGCATATCACATTTCATAGGGTTTTTTAATTTAATTTAATTTTAAAGATTTTATTTATTTATCTGGGGGCGGGGGCGAGAGCATACACACAAAAGGCGGGGGAGAGGCAGAGGGAGAAGGAGAAGCAGACCTCCTGCTGAGCAGGGAGCCCAATGTGGGGCTTGATCCCAGGACCCCAAGGTCATAACCTGAGCTGATGTCTGATGCTTAACCGACTGAGCCACCCAGGTACCTCTCATTAATTTTAAAGTTTATTTATTTATTTTTAAGTAAGCTCTATACCCAGTGTGGGGCTCAAACTCACGACCCAGAGACCAAGAGTCACATGCTCTTCTGACTGATGTCCCTCACTTGTTTGTTTGTTTGTTTGTTTTTTAAGATACACATGAATTAATATAGGGCAGTGGTTCTCAACTGAGGGTGACATTTGGCAATGTCTGGAGACAATTTTGGTTGTCACAACTGGGTGAATGCTACTGGCATCTAGTGGGTAGAGGCCAGGGATGCTGCTAAATATCCTACAGTGCCCAGAACAGCCCCCACCTACACGGAATTAGCCAGTCTAAGATGTTAATGGTGCCCAGGTTGAGAAGCTATGTTCTGGAGGGCATGTGCCCAAGTAACAAATGCCCAAGAAAGGGTAGCTGCTATTATCCTTCACCCTATGTCTAGCACTTGGCCCAGAGTGGATTTATCAATAAATACTTGACTTAATGGACTTGAAGACAGAAATGCAGTGTAACACTTAGGCCCATGCACACAGTGGGAGCTCGATCAGTATTTCGTTAATTAATGCTGTGAGCAGTAAATGAGATGGTGCATTCTCCAGGGTCTGTCTGGCTCAGTGTCTGGCACAAGGTTGGCACTCAATAGATATTTTATCAGTTGATGCATGTGAGGATACACACAATATCTTCAGGGCCTGGCACCCAGGAGGTGCTCCATCAGTTTGTGTTGAATGGATGAATGAGAGAATCAAAGGAGGTTGTATTTGCACAGGTCCTGGCCTGTGGTAGCCACCAGGGTGCATTAGCCTAACCCATCCCTCCCTCAGTGGCACAACACTCACCGGCCACCTGGACCTCAGTCTTGGCCCTCATGATCCAGGCAGGATTGATGTTGACAGCTACCTGTTAGGTGCCACTGTCGGTGGGCTGTACACGATGCAGCAGCATGGAGCCATTGGGGAAGCCAATGATGTCATGCTGTCCCATGGCACTGCCGTTCCTCTGGGGCTGCTGGAGATCGGGGAAGTAGGTGAATAACATCATGCCACCGTTGGTCTCCTCCCCCAGGTACCAGTTGAAGTCCTGAAAGTTGCCTGGGATGCCCTGGACAGACAGGAGAAGGTCCTGATCCTTTTGAGGATGCTCTGGAATCTTCTGGATGTGTAGGGCAGCCCAAGAGCCTTGTGGGATCCAGAGGGCTAGGATTGAGGCTATGGGAGTTACAAGGGTGGCCTGAGATCAGAAATGTTGGGCAGGAACCATAGCATTTTTCTCCTTGTATGTCCTCATCTGGGGACAAGGACTCTGAGTGCTGTTTATTGGAAATAGGACTGGGATTGATTAGTGATGTCTGCCCTGGGTTCAGGAGTAGAAACCCAGATATGAAAGCCACAGATTTCTTATCCCATTGGTCCAGCAGATTTTTCTGCCTTAAGATGCTGTGTGGTCTGCCTCTAAACAGTTGAACTCTCTGAATTAATTCATTTATCCATCTAACCAATACTTACAGAAATACATATTATTTATGCTACAGTACCAATTGTATATGATATGTCTAAAATTCCCTAGATTTCAGGGGCACCTGGATGGCTCAGTGGTTGAACATCTGCCTTAGGCTCAGGTTGTGATCTCAAGATCTTCGGATCGAGTCCTGCATCGGGCTCCCCGCAGGGAGGCTGCTTCTCCCTCTGCTTATGTCTCTGCTTCTCTTTGTGTGTCTCTCATGAATAAATAAAATAAAATCTTAAAAAAAATTCCCTAGATTTTTAGGCACTGGGGATATAGCGGGAAAACAAATACAAATAAATTCCTGTCTTCGTGATGATCTGAGGAAAGGCTCCTGTGTTGCTGAACCTGGCCTGTAGTGGGCGCAGCCTTGTACCAGGCAGCCAGAGCCTGACCTAAGTCAATTCCCAGAATAGTTCTTCTTGGAGTTTGAATTTGCAATAACAGGTGTGAACATTGTAGCAGCAGTTTGATGATCATATGTGTTATTGCAAATAGGGCAAAAGAACAAAATACACAATCCCGCCCCCAGAAAAAAATTCCCAAACAGATAATATTCTTGTCCTCATGGTTTTGATATTCTAGAAAATTCCAAAGTAAAATTGAATATGGCACTGTGATTCTACAGCTCAACCCTCTCCAACCCCCCAATCTTACTCCTCTTCCCTGGCAAATCTTTCCTTTCTCCCAAGAGACCTCAGCCCCTGGGCTGAGTCTCACCTTCTCCCCTGGGGTGTGTTTCCTCCTTACCTGAGAGTAGGAGGCCCTTTGAGAAGTAGTGCTGGGCCCACTCAGGAATCTCCATCTTGGTGTCTTGTGGAGGTGCCAAAGGGCCACTGCAGACACCAACAGGGCTGGACGGCTGGGCCCTGGCTGTGCGAAGTGGGCCAACTCAGTGGGAATCTTTGGGGTGTCTCCCAGACATTGCTGAAACTGGCCGAACCCTAGTACCCCCTTTCCACAGGCTCCAGAGGCTTCACTTGTGCTCTCCGGGATGGACTGCAGATACTGGTTGAACCAGTTTATCAGGGTGACTGGGGAGCTTCCTGGGGTTTCCCGTGGACTCCTCCCTTAATCCCCTTCAACCTCTTCTTCTCACCCAGTGTGAGGTGTGACCGTTACGAGCACGTCAGGAGCACGACAGGAGTACGACAGGAGTCCTAGTGTCCTCTGGTTGAATAATCCCCCTGGGCCAGGCAGGTCCCTGCAGATAGGCCCAACACAACTGCCTCATCCAACGTCTACCACACATAACCGTGCCCATTTCACAGATGAGGAAACTAAAGCTCAAGGAAGGAATCAGGTCTACTAGTAGGTGGCCATTCATTCATTCATTCATTCATTCCAACACCCACTCCCTGTGCCCAGCACTGTGCTGAGTGGTGCTGCAGACACAGTGGTGATTGAGACACCTCTTGCTTTGTCCTCAGTCCCCAGCGGGGCTCACAGTTCTGTGTCTGTGTTGGGGGGAGCAGACCCATCCCCAGGCAATGATGATCCAGGGTGATCAGCTCTGGGATGGAGGAGCCCAGGGGGCTGGGAGAGCCCAAAGGGGTGCCTCACTCAGCCTGAGGGGCAGGGAGAAGGAGACATCTGAACAGAGACCTGGAGTAGGAGTAGCAATGAGGCAGGCGGTGGGGTGGCAATGGGGTGAGGTTTACCAAGCATTATAACCGCATATGCAAGGCATGGAGGCTGAAAATCCTGGCTGAGGGGGCGCTGAGTGGGATGGGAGTAGGCTGGAAAGGAGGGATCCATTGGGATTTTGAGCTGTGTTGGGATAGGGTCTAAGTACTGGAGGGGCCAGGGTTGTGCCAATACTGTAGCTAGTCGTCACATAAGGTGATTGAAATGTACCCTGAAGTTAATTAAAATTCAATGTCTTCAAAATTAGTTTCTCAACCTGGTCACTTTCAAGTTAAGTGATCAATTATCCCCTGTGACCAGTGGCTATCACACTGGATAGCGAGCTACAGAATGTTTCCATCACCATCACAGACATTTCTATTTGGCAGTGCCCATGTAGGGACCTGAAGGGGGCAGTGCCAGGTGAGGTTTCTGGATCTGTGGGCAGAACACTAAGTTTGGGGGGCCATAAGTCAGTGGTAGTTTGCCTGTGTATGTCACCAGGTTGTCGCAGGTGATGGCATCTATCAGACCAGGGTCCCCAGGTTGGAGTGAGAGAGAAATCTGGACGTTGATCCACCTTGCAGGGTGGAGTGGGGGGTGGTATGGTCCAGGTGAGCTGAACCATTGCAGAGTCCAAGCACAGCCCTGTGGTGAGCTGGTGAGCCTGACTCTGCCACCACTTGGCTACGGGATCTTGGGAGCAAATGACTTCACCTCTCTGAGGCTTGGCTTCCTCCTCTGTGATGGTGATGGGAACGTTCTTCCTGGGAGAGACAGCTCTGAGTTTGGGCTGCAACAAGATTGCCCAAACCAGCTTTGTTCCAGTAGGAATTTGGTTGTGCAGCAGGAGTGGAGTTGAGGGTGTCAGGGGGACTCTGATAGATTATCACCACTACCCCCTTAGCAGAGGCTCTGTAAGCAGCGCTAGGCAGCGCATAAAGCAAAGCCAGTTATTCTGGATTTTCTGCATGCTGAAGCTTCTCTCTCTCTCTCTCTTTCAGTTTGTTTCTTTCAAATAATGACTTTGATTCCTTTTGCATTATTAAAAGTCAAGGTTTAATATGGAAAATTTAGACAGTATGAGCTCAAAAAGAAGAGAGTAACATTCAGTCATCTTCCAACTACCCAGAGAGTCACTGCTAATAAATACCAGAGGTCCAGACTTCTGTTGTCCCTTCTGCAGCCTTCCTCTGGGCTCTTCCCCAACCCCAGAGGACAGGTCCCGAGTGGTCCAAGCCTCCCAAGCAGTCCTCTTCTCTAGGGATTGGTTGAGCAGTGGATGACACTGGCCAATGATGCCCGAGAAGAGGCTGCTGGGGAACTTCACCCAGGACACGCTGGTCTGTTTTTCCAGGTCTGGGTCTGGTTGTGATGGCAGGAATGCAGCAGCCATCTTGGCACCAGCCTGAGGATGATGCCAACGAGTGGTGGAAAATAGAACAAACAGCAGAGTAGCAGAGCTGAACTCCACACACGGTGTCTGGAGTAGAAACAGACAATCCGGTTCCTTGTTTTTAATCTGGGCCTGGGGAGCAGCAGGGAGAGGGGCACTCTCTGCTCTTGGAACGAACCTGAAGCATTCTCACCATCACATTTTTATATACTGATGGAGATTCTCTCATCGACTGGCCTCTACCTAGGCTCCCCAGCACACTTCCTATGAGGTCTGTGTTCATGTCTGTTTTGTCCAAATTTGGCAAGTATCCTCCTAAGTCAGCTATCGGCCCTTGATAGCACTTGCCCTCCACGTCTGATAGGTTCATCCTCTCGGCTCCCCCCACTCCCCAGGTGATGTCTGGTCATCCTGGTCTGTCTTCAGTAAGAATCTTGTCAGGTTAGGTTAGCCAGGATCCCCCTTACATCTGATTTACATCTTAGTAATATCCCACCTGCTGCCCCCCACCTGCTCCTTGGTTATAAAGTCCTACTTGTCCTTGCTGTGTTCAGAGCTGAATCTAATCCCCCACCCACTCCCCACAAGATCCCGTAGCAATGGCTCTATTGCAACGGCCCCTCCCCTTGAAGAAAGTCTGCCTTATTGTGCTTATAAAGACTCATTAAAGAACTGTTCTCCTTAAAAGTTAGAATACTATTTTTTTCTTTAAGATTCACCCATCCTTGGGGCACCTGGGTGGTTCAGTGGGTAAGCATCTGCCTTCAGCTCAGGTCATGATCCCAGGATCCAGCCCCACGACAGGTTCCCTACTCAGCGGGGAGTCTGCTTCTCCCTCCCCTCCCCACCCATGCTCATGCTCTCTCTCTCTCACAAAAAAATAAATAAATAAAAATCTTCAAAAAAAATTCACCCATCCTTCACTTCATGAATTTAATTGGTTCTTAAAAATTCGGCTCCTAAGAGCTGGGAAACATTTTTTTCTATAAAAATTTTTAAAGTTTTTTTCTCTTATAGTAGTAAAACTAACATATAAAATCAATCATTTTGGGGCACCTGGGTGGCTCAGTGGTTGAGCGTCTGCCTTTGGCTCAGGTCATGATCCTGTGGCCCTGGGATCAAGTCCCGCATGGGGCTCCCTACAGGGAGCCCACTTCGCCCTCTGCCTGTGTCTCTGCCTCTCTCTCTGTATCTCTCATGAATAAATAAATACAATCTTTTAAAAAATTAAAAAAAAAAATTGATCATTTTAACCACATTTATTTTTTGATAATTTTAACCATTATATTATATTATATTACTTATTTGAAACAGAGAGGGAGAGGGAGAGAATCCTCAAGCAGATTCCGTGCTCAGCGTGGAAACCGACACAGGGCTCCATTCACGACCCTGAGATCATGACATGAACCAAAATCAGGAGTCAGACACTCAACGGACTGAGCAACCGACTGAGCCACCCAGGCGCCCCTCATTTTAACCAATTTAAAATGTGCAGCTCAGTGGCATTTAATACATTACAGTGCTGTGCAACCATCACCACTATTTCCAGAACGTTTTTTCAATCGTGCCAAAGAGAATCCTTGAACCCATTAAGCAGTCCTTCACTGTCACCTCCTTCCCTCAGGCCTTGGCCACCACTGATGGCTTTTCTGCCTCTATGGATTTGCCTACGCTGGACATTTCCTGCAAACGGAATCCTACACTATGTAGCCTTTTGAGCATTGGCTCAGAACTCCTTTTCCTCCCAGTAGGAGCAGAGTCAGCTGAGGGAGGGTTTGGGGCTATTTTAGGCTCTCCATCAGACACTGTCCCCTTCCTTCTCCAATATTGATCATCAGGTTTTTTCTCAATTTTATGTGAAGTTTTTCTGACTCCTATACCAAAATTCTGGGTCTGCTCTCCACTCCTGACTCTTGTGGAATTCACAGATGCTCCCCCCACCGAAACCAGTGGTCACATCCATCATTGCCCAGCAGAGAGGCTTCTAGGAAGGACCATTTATAGTATCTATCACAACAGCAGGGGCACATATTCTTTGATTAGCAATTTCACCTCTGGAAGTATGTCCTACACTCATGTGTCAACATGAGCTGGGGTGTGACAGCGCGTAAGGCCACTCATTACAACACTGTAATGGTAAAGGGCCAGAAATACTACAAACGCCTGTCCAGTAGGGGCTTGGTTGAAAAAGTCCTCAGCTACCCAGGTACCCCACTATGTGACTTTTTGTAAAAAGACTAAAGACACTCTCTTAGAATTCCCAGAAACCTTAGTAATAAAAGAAAGGTGCAGAACAAGTGTCTGGGGGTGCCTGGGTGCTCAGTGGGTTAAGCGTCTGCCTTTGGCTCAGGTCATGATCTCAGCATCCTGGGATCCAGCCCCGCATCAGGCCCCTGCTCAGCGGGAAGCCTGCTTCTCCCTCTCCCTCTGTCTGCTGCTCCCCTGCTTGTACTCATGCGCTCTCTCTCTCAAACAAATAAAATCTTGTTGAGGACTTTGAGATAGGGAGCTCAGTCTGGATGACCCGAGTGGGCCTGGTGTGATTACAGGGTTCTATAAAGAGAGAGGCAAGAAATTTGGAGGAGGGAGGTGGGAGCAGGGGGAGGAAAGGCCATAGGATGGGCCATATGAAAAGGGATGCCAGCAGCACTCCTAGAAGCTGGAGAGGCAGGGAATGGATTCTCCCCTGGAGCCTCCAGAGGAGGAGCCTCCAGCCCTGCTAACACCTTGATTTTAGCCTAGTGAGACTCTGGACTTCTGACCTCCAGACTGTGAGAGAAGAATTTTGTGTGTTAAGCCACTAAGTTTGTGGTGATACAATTCCTCCATCCAAAATATGCTATTCAGGGATGCTTGGGTGGCTCAGCGGTTGAGCATCTTCCTTTGGCTCAGGGTGTGATCCTGCAGTCCCAGGATCGAGTCCTACACCGGGCTCCTTGCGGAAAGTCTACTTCTCCCTCTGCCAGTGTCTCTGCCTCTCTCTCTGTGTTTCTCATGAGTAAATAAATAAAATCTTAAAATAAAATGTGCTATTTAGGGGCACCTGGGCGGCTCAGTGGGTTAAGCGTCTGCCTTGGGCTCAGGTCATGATCCTGGGGTTCTGGGATTGAGTCCTGCATCAGTCTCCCTGCTCAGTGGGGAATCTGCTTCTCTCTCCCTCTGCCCTTCCTTTCTGCTTATTCTCTCTCAAATAAATAAATAAATAAATAAATAAAATCTTTAAAAAATGTAGGATCAGACACTTAACCCATTGAGACACCCAAGTGACCCCTTGACTCAGGTTCTTGCTCCCACACCTTTGGTTTTGTTCACACAAAACAGCCTGTCTCCAATTCCTATGAAAGACCTCCCCTGCACACAGACACTTGAGGTGTAATAAATTAACTTTAAGAAAGTATTTGGGGCTGGGGGCTGGACAGGGGTTCATGTAGTAGCAATGTGGCCAACCTCCCATTTATCTCTCCTTGCCATCCCTACCACTTACCCCTTATGGAGGCTGTTCACACTCTCCCTTCTACCCTGAGTGAATCCCAAGAACTTCTTGTTTTCTCTTGTACAGCAGCTCATGCCTCATGCTCCAGTTTAGCATCCTGGCCCGTGGTCTTTCCTGCCAAGTACTTCCCCAACAGGCAGGTCTCACTGTTAGAGGAATTCTGGTGCCTGCCTCCAAGGTCAGAGTCTGTTGTAAAAGAAATGGGTCAGTTGTATCTGAGAAGCTCTGCCTCTGGGATGTTGGGCTGTATCCTCCCTGGTCTGAGGGATTCTGGTGCCTGCCTCCAAGGTCAGAGTCTGTTGTAAAAGAAATGGGTCAGTTGTACCTGAGAAGTTCTCCCTCTGGGATGTTGGGCTGTATCCTCCCTGGTCTGAGGGCCGTCAGTATGGCTTGCACAGATGTGGTTTCTGCTCTCCTAGAACCTTTTCCTCCTTGTTTTTGACATTTTGCTTTCTTTGGTGGGGTACTGGCTCCCCTTCTCTGATGTCCTGTCAACCTCCGATGTCCTGTCAATGCCAGGCCCCAAGTCTTGGCAGAAGGTACCAGGAACTTGCATCCTCCAAGTTTATGTCTACCATTGTTTCTGCTCCTCAGAGTGCCCTGAGCAGCTGAGTTCCAGCCTCGGCTTCTCTTCTGGACAAGGCTGGCAGCTCTTTCTTGTAACCACAGGGATTCCACTGACATGGAGATTCAGAAGTTCAAGGCCAGAGGTCAGATTCTTACAAAACTTTGCTGGCACTTGCAATAGTCTGTGTGGCCCCACAATGACAATGCAGGAAAGGGTTAATCTTGCCCAAAGTGAGATTTAGCCCTTTCCTTTGCCCCTGGCTCTGGGAGGAAGGGAATCTCTAAGCCCCTGGGAGTATCCTGGCTGATAAGAGTCTTATTTTGCCTGGGGCTGTGGGCAGCATCAGTGAGTCTATCCTAACAGTGTGATTTATAGTGAGGCTTTGCCCTAGGGAGGTGCTGGAGACTAAGTCAGTTCCATGGGTGGTCAGCCAGTGTCTGCAATGATGGACTCCCCAATAAAAACCCTGGAAACCAAGGCTCAGCTGAGCTTCTTCGGTTGGCAGGACTCTGTGTTGACACATATCATTGCCAGGAAAAGTCAGTACTGTCAATGCAAGTGAAAGGTGGTGCCAAGACTCTTCTGGATGGTGCCTCATGCAACTTTTCATGCTTCTGATCTTAATCTCATACTTTCGTTGTAGTAAACTGTAACCATGAGCACAACCACTTTCCTGAGTTCTGGGATTCCTTCCGGTGAATAACTGAACCTGAGAGGGAGGGGTCGTGGGGACAGCTGGACTTGCACCTGCCACTGTGGGTCTTGAGGTCTGGCGTGAGAAGGGTGGCCACTCTCTTTGAAGGGAGACTGCATCCACTGGGCCAGGGGTCCAGCTGCAAAGTCCATTCCTCCCCAGCCCCAGTCTCTCTCCAACAGTGGTGACACTGTCACCTTGTCACCTGGTGCTGTTTGTCTGTGGATCCCGGGAGGAGCTGGCATCGGGGTTCACAGCTGTATAGATGACATGCTAGAAGGCAGATATTCAAACTTTAGCCTCAGGGCCCTTCCAAACACTGAAGTTCAGGGTGCAAACAGCTGCAGACCTGTCCCCTCCCATCTCCCTGGAAGCCAGGGCAGTACTTCTTAAGGTATGGTCGTGAGTGGGGAGGGATGGGGCATCTATGGAAATGTAGATCCCCAGGCCCCAGCACAAGCCCACCAGACCAGACTCTCAGAGGGCAGGACATAGGAACCTGCATTTTGGGCAAACTTTTCAGGGAAGTCTGCCCAGTAGGAAAGGTTGGGAACCACTGCTCTAGGTATTTGGAGAAAAGATCCAGGACCTGGCTCCTGACACCATGCTGGCTTTTGGTTAAGTGCTGTGGGTGCCCAGAGGTGTCTGTCCCCTCCTTGGGAATGTCCATGCAGACTCCACACCCTCCTCATCTCCACCACCATACTTACGCCATTAGCAGTGGAGCTGCGTCGGTTCTGACCTAGGGAAAGAAGAGGAGAAGCTGTCAGGAATGAATGACAATGCTGGAAAGCATGGCAAGAGGACACATGTGGGTGTCAGAGCCCCTTGAATTCTCAGCCCCAATTCTGCCATTGACATCGAGGAGCCACTCCCCACAGTGGTTATTCGTAAAACAGGACTGGGGTATATGTCTTACCCAGCTATTCATGTAGTTATTAAGTATAAATAGATATTTATTCAGCATGGGTTCTAGAATACGATAGAAGCCCTCAAATCCCAGCCCTGTTCTTTAGGAGCTGTGTGACCTCAGGCAATTGACTCTCTGTGCCTCGGTTTCCTCAACCATCAAACAGGGATTTATTTAGCAAATAGGAAATGTCTACTTTGTGCCAGGTGCATGCTAGGTGCTGCAGGGACAGCTATGAGCAAAACAGACACAAATCCCTACTCTCATGGAGTTCAGATTAATCATAGTAATAGTATCAGCGGCAATAGTTATTAGAGCCTACCTACAGCCAGCATGTGGCTTATGACGAGCCAAATGCTGTGCCAAGCACTTTACCTGTATGATGAGGTACAGTTACTCCCATTTCACAGAGGAGGAAACGGAGTCAAAGAGAGTCGGTCATTTGCCCTTGATGACACAATTAATAAAGCAGTAGAATGAGGGCCCTGGAGATGCCATACTTCATAAATACTTCCTCAAGTGTCTCCTGTGTGCCCGGCCCCCAGTGGGAGGTGGGGCTGGGGACACAGCCATGACCATGACAGTTCTAGCTCTGCTCTTCTGGGGATCACAGTTCCCTGGAGAGACAGACAAGTCCCCACACAGTGGCATCCCAGAGTGGGCAAGGGCTGGGATGGAGGATGGGGAAGACCAGAAAAGGTGCTAGGCTCACTCTGGGAGATCAGAAAGGGCTTCCTGGAGGAGGCGGCCTCCAGCGGGGCTGTGAGGAGGCAGTTTTGTTTAGCGGTTGAGGGTATAAGCTTTGAGGGCAACAGAACCACCCTCTCTGCCTGACCTTCTGGCTGTGCGCCTGTTGGCAGACCTCATCTTTCCAAGCAAACATTTCCTTGTCTCTACTGTGGGGCTCATGGCAGGACTCACTTTGCAGGGTGGTAGTGAGCATTTGAGAGAGGCATTGCACAGAAAGTCCCTGGCACCACAGGTATAAAGTGCTCTGGAAAATGTAGCTCTTCTTTTGCAGCCAAAGGACTTCACCAGAAGGAGACATGGGGAGGGTGCTCCAGGCAGGGGGACAGCCTGGGTGGATCCCTTGTGTCAAGAGCATCAGGCCTGGGGATCCCTGGGTGGCGCAGCGGTTTTTGGCGCCTGCCTTTGGCCCAGGGCGCGATCCTGTAGACCCGGGATCGAATCCCACATCGGGCTCCCGGTGCATGGAGCCTGCTTCTCCCTCTGCCTGTGTCTCTGCCTCTCTCTCTCTCTCTCTGTGACTATCATAAATAAATAATAAAAAAAAATTAAAAAAAAAAAAAAGCATCAGGCCCTTGGAATGCCTCGGTGGCTCAGCAGTTTAGTGTCTGCCTTTGGCTCCGGTCATGGTCCTGGGTCCGGGAATTGAGCCCCACATGGGTTCCGTGCGAAGGGCCTGCTTCTCCCTCTGCCTGTGTCTTTGCCTCTCTGTGTGTCTCTCATGAATAAACAAATAAAAAATCTTAAAAGAAAAAAAAGAGCATCAGGACCTTCAGAGGTGGGGATCAGAGTGCCAGCTGCTACCCTTACTCCCTAAACATTTGTAAAAGGAATCACCGATCCGATGAACAAGAGCCTCTGAACTTAAGTGTCCTCACGTGTAAAATGGGTGAACCTCATGGTACTGAGAATTCAGCGGGAGGCTGCCATGCATGGGGCTTAGTATAGATCACAATAGGCGGCCAGCCATGGCAGTTGTAATGCTAATTCACTGCTGAGAGGCAGGAGATGTGCCAAAGAGGAGGGACTCACGGGAGAGTCTGCGCAGCAAGAAATATATCAGCAACCCCAGGACCACAATGATCCCGGCCACAGCTCCGCAAATGATGATGGTCACAGTGGACAAGCCGTGCTTGTTGGGAGGTTTTTCTGCAAGAACAAAAGGAAGCAGAGTTAGGTTCAGAGGCTTCTGGGGTCTTCACCTGCCCTTAAACATTACTCCTCATCCTTTAGGGAAGCTACTGCTCTGTCTCTCAGTCTATATGGTTAGGAGGACCTGACCCCACCCCCGGGTTCCTAGGACAGGACTTTTACCCAGGTCTGGCCAGTCAGAGCATTTCATTCTCTGAAGCTATTGTGATTGATTCATAGGGAGGCTGTGACCCCAGTTAAGCCAATGACAGCCAGCCCTGGGGACTTTGGCTAGAGCTACTGGAAGTGGTATATTCTCTCCCCTGGGATTACTAGATGGGTGAGATGGGAGGCTGTAGCTGCCAAGGGACAGCTCACCTCCCTGAGAACACAGAGAAAAGCAGAGACAAGAGATGTAAAGGGAAGTTCCTGGGTTTCACAGTTGGAGCATCTGGATCCAACCGTACCTGAAGGTGCATTTTCAATAAAGTCCCGTTTTTGCTTAGACTGATTTGAGTTGTCCTTCTATCAATTGCAGTTGATAGAGACTCCTGACTAATATACTTGGGAAGGCCTTTCTGAGACCCTGGGGACAAGCCTCCTGCAACTACCCAACCCTGGGTTTGCAGAGGGGGTTATCCAGCAGGCTGTACAATAGTTTCAGTGGTACAGATGTTAACAGAGACTAAAGCTGACTGCATTGGTCCTTTCATGAGGGGGATTTGGGGGGATGGGAATCAGAAAGCATTCTTGTGTCTGAGGACTCTCTTAACCAGGGAGCACTTCCAAACTCCTCCCTCAGAGGGAATCCTGCTGGGACTTCCTCCTTCGGTCCCTCTATTCTTACCACCCAAGGGGCTCCTCACCTCTGACCAGGATGCTCAGTTCTGCCTGGCCAGTCCCTAGGGCGTTGCTGACACGGCAGATGAAAGTCGTGTTGATTGACTCGTCCACGGTATGGATCAGGAGCTGCGAGCCCTGGGCCACAGCAGAGGGCGGCAGGGGACCCACAGTCCTGGGAGAGACAGATGGGTGAAGTGGCAGGTGTGAGCTCTCACTGTGTACTCATGCTGTCTCTGATCAAAGTTGAGAGCAACCCTGGAGTTCCCCGACTCTTCCACTCACACCCACATCCAACCCATCAGCGGGTCCCACCCATCTCACCTCCAAAACCTCTCTAGACTCCAGCCCCTCTGCAGGCCTCCCCGGCCACCACCCCAGTCTGATCCCCCAGCTTCTGGGCCACCTTGGCTACCTTTTCATGGGACTCCCTGCCTCTACCCCACCCCCACCATACTGTCCCCTATGAGCAGCTGGAGAGATCTTGTGAGTACTAACTTTTCACATCCCTTCTTTATTCAGAGCCTTCCTGTGGCTTCCGCCTCACCCTGCATAAACCCAAAGTGCTAACACAGCCACAGACCCCATCCACTGGCTGCAGATACCTCGGACCACACTGTTACTCTCCCCTTTGCTCTGTATCCACAGTGGCCTCCGAGTTCATCTTCCAACACTCCAGTTAGGCTTCCACTGCAGGGTCTTTGCACATGCTGTTCCCTCTGCCTGGAATGCTATTTCCCCAGGTATGTGCACGGCGCATCCTCACTTCCTTCAGGCCTGGGCTCAGACGTCACCTTAGCGACAGCCTTCTTGGCCAGCTTATTGCAACTGCAAACCCCCCCCCCCCCCCCGCCCGCTCTGCTTTACCTCTTCCCAGCATTTATCCCCATCCGACACACTACACCTCACAATGTTATTTTGTTTATTGTTTCCCTCCCCTGCTAGGACGGAACACCAGGAGGGGAAGGAATGTGGCCTGTCTCATTTACCAGGGTGTGTTGGCCAGTGGGATCTGGCACACGGTAAACAGCAGACCCATTTCAGTTTAATGGACAGAGAAGATGCAAGCACGGAGTTCTGGGCGCTTGGCAGAGCTGGGATGGAAACCCAGCCATGTGGGCTCAGCAGCCTGGATCACGGCGCTTTGAGGCAGGATGGGGAGGCGTCAGCCAACACCACTCACTGGAAGACCCGAGGCCACGATTCCTTAGAGGCACAGCTGTGCCCATCCACCGAGCCAGGCAGGTGGGGATGATCACCCCTGCGGCATCTGCATGCTTGCAAGAGGGACGGAGCCCCCTATCTCCCTTGCAGGGGGCGTTAAATAATTGATGGCATGCACATAGGATGGAACGGAATCCCAGCAGCACCGCAAAGGGGGTTGCGGGTACTCTGAAGTGCATAAGAGGTAAAACAAACAAACAAACAAACAAACAAAAACATCCTGATGGATGGAGAGAGGGATGGATTGATGGACATGATTGAGCAGGTCCAGGAAAGTATGAGTGGAAGAAATCCACATGGGGGGTTTCTGAGCGCTCCCTGGCAAAGTCTTACAGCTTTTTTTGTATGTCTACAAATTCTCCCGATGAGATGCTGGGGAGCACGGGGATGCGGCCCTGCGAGCTGACATGGAAAGGCGTTCCCGAGACGGAGGGAGAGAAGCGTAGAGAACAGAAGGCGGGAGGGGTATGGGGTAACGGTGGATGTTTCTGGGCACTTGACTACACATTCTTAGTTTTTTCTTTTTGCTCATAACTGGATTGTCTGAAGTTTCTATAACGGCCATAAATTTGTTTGTAATTAGAACAAAAGCCCAATGCGAATTATGTAAAACTATCGATTCCTTTGCTTTTTGCTTCCCCCACTCTTCCCCCTAGCCTTGGTATGAATCCAAGGAGATCTGAGTGCTCTGAGCCTCAGTTTCCTCATCCAGAGAATGGGGACAGCACCCGCTCTGTCAGAAGTGACTGAGCAGGTTACATGAGGTGACCTGAGAGGTGGCACAGTCCCGAGGTTAGGAGGTTGAGCCAGATGCTGATTTGAGAGCCACTTCTACGCCCTTGTGGCCATGGGACCCATGCAGATGATGGTGGTTACTGGGGCCCGGCTTAAAGAACCCCGGGCGCGGCGATGATGCTGCCTGTGCGCGGAGTGTGGGGAATCACACGGGACGAGGTGGCCACCGGCACACAGCAGGCCACGCAAAAGAGCAGGTGTAACAGCGAACCTGAACCGACCTCTCATAAACTGTTCATACAAGACAGAAAGTTCACTGGGGCCTAAAGTCGACTTCTCTCTTTTTACTTTCTTGTACCCACTTTCTTCCCAAGACCCAGGGGTCCAGGCCCCAAATTCTCCTCCCTCAGACCCAGGAATCCAGGCCCCCAGGCTCTCCTTCCTCAGACCTGAGGGTCCAGGCCCCCAGCCCCCTCCTCCCTCAGACCTGGGGGTCCAGGCCCCAAACTCTCCTCCCTCAGACCCAGGAATCCAGGCCCCAAACTCTCCTCTCTCAGACCCGGGAGTCCATGCTCTCAGCCCCCTCCTCCCTCAGACCCAGGGGTCCAGGCCCCAAACTCTCCTCTCCCAGACCCAGGAATCCAGTTCCCCAGGCTCTCCTCCCTCAGACCTGGGGGTCCAGGCCCCAAACTCTCCTCCCTCAGACCCAGGAATCCAGGCCCCAAACTCTCCTCTCTCAGACCTGGGAGTCCATGCTCCCAGCCCCCTCCTCCCTCAGACCCAGGGGTCCAGGCCCCAAACTCTCCTCCCCCAGACCCAGGAATCCAGGCCCCCAGCCCCCTCCTCCCTCAGACCCAGGGGTCCAGGCCCCCAGCCCCCTCCTCCCTCGGACCCAGGAGTCCAGGCCCACAGCCCCCTCCTCCCTCAGACCCTGGAGCCCAGGTGCACCCAGGACTCACGTGCTCCAGTTATAGCCTGTGGGCTCTGGTTTGCTGCGGACGTCACAGTTCAGAGTGACCTCACTGTGGCCCATGTATAAAGTGCCATCATAGCCGGAGATGGAGACTTCAGGAGGGTCTGAGGGAAATAGACACACAGGTTCAGAGACAGGGACTCCTCAGAGGGGCCTAAAGATACGTGGGGTCATGGCATAATGAGAAAAGGCCTCAATGGGCTTCAGGAATAGCCCAAGACAGAGAGGCCTTTGAGGAGTCTGGGGCAATGGATCTCTTCAGAGAACAGCAGGCCAAAAGTCCTTGGCAGGGTGGGGGGTAGGGGGGTGCTGAGAAGGCTTCTGGGGACCTGCTCCTCTGTACTCATTTTCCTTGGTAGCTAGGTCCTGGTATTCTGTGGGTCTCCTGTGAGAAAAGGCCTCTTAGGTGCCCATAACCCACAGGAACATATATTCAAGGCTCTGACAAGTCCTGCCAGGAAGAATCCTGGATGGCTCTGCTTCAGCTGCTGCTTATCCATCCCAAATGTGATCGACAGGGAGGACTTTTCAAAGTCCCCATGGGCAAGGTCAATGAGACAGAGTGTTTTTTTTTTTTTTTTTTTTTTATGGGGAGGAGCCAGTGTTGATCCCTCTTCCCTCAGACCCAGTGGCAATGTTGCAGGTGTCCAAGGAAGACAGTGCCTGAGGGATTCAGTGTAGCAGCTGCCCAAGAGGGAATATTCAGAAACCCAGTGTAGACAATGGTAAGGCAGTGTAGAAAATGGACAAGGGAGTTGGGGTAGACAGTGCAGTAAACAGTGTAGCAATGCGGGCAAGGTCAGTGTAGACAGTTGCCTAGGGAAGCAGGTGGAGGCAGTGGGCATAGGCCGTGTTCAAGGGAGTTGGGAGAGACTGTGGGGTGTCACTGTAGACAGTGACCAGGAGAGCCAGGGTAGACAAACCAGGGTGCAGTGTGGACTGTCGCCTAAGAAGCTGGTACAGACCATGAAGGATAGTGTTGTTTGTGGCCCAGGGGGCCCCGTGTAGACGATGTAGTGGTCCTTGTGCTTGCTCACGTTTGGGCACACTCACAAGGCACAGCGAGAGTCACGGGCAGCAGGACGGGCTTCTTCAAGCTCTCATGTTCCACTCTGCAGGTGACATTCTTGCCGTCCACCTTGCTCGAGGGGATCAAGGTTAAGAGGCTGATGACGGTGAACGTGCCAGGCAGGTGTCCAGGCACCTGGCTCTCACTGGCCTGGCCGTCCAGGTGTGGCCAGGAGATGCGGGCGGGTGGGCGACCCTCACTGGAGACACAGCGGGCCACGGGCACAGGCTCTGGGCTGAGCGGGCTGAACGGGACCTCCTCGGGCTCTGCCTTGTTCTCGGGCTGGGCTGCGGACAGGAGGGGAAGGGACCGGTCAGTCCTCACCTGCGGTCTTTCAACAAACATCACAGCAGCGGGGGTTGGAGGGTTGGGGGAGAGGGGCAGCTAGCTGAGAGTACAGGCGGGCCAGGTTCAAATCCCAGCTCTGTCCTTGAGCCGCTGGGTGGCTGTGGGCACATGTGCTTCTCCATCTGTCCACGGGAGATAATGACAGGATCATAGGCAATGAGAATATAAAATGGTACTTGGCACCATAAGTGCTCAGTAAACACTATTATTATTAGGAATTGAATACACTGTCTGGCTGTATCACGGGTGATGATAGGACCCAGCCCTGCCTTCAGGGGCTACACCGTCAAAGGGGAAGACAGATTTCCTGAGAGTGTGGCAACCCGCAGTGGGCAAGGCTGGGGTGGGGGAATCCCAAAAGGGGTGCCGCAGCGTTGGTGGAGTGAAGGAGGGCTTCATGGAGGAGAGGAGGGCTGAGCAGTGCTCTGCAGGTTGAGAAGGGAAGACAGGCTTAAGGTCACACAGTTCTATGGGACAGAGCTGGGCTTTCACGTGAGGTCTCACTCTAAACCCTTCATCATTATTCTGGTGATTCCCAAACCTGGAGCTCCACTTGCTTCCTTCCTCATTATTGCTTGTTTTTGTTGCATTATTATGGGTTGGAGATTTCTCTTATTTTTTAAGATTTTATTTATTCATGAGAGAGAGAGAGAGAGAGAGAGAGAGAGAGAGAGAGAGAGAGGCAGAGACAAAGGCAGAGGGAGAAGCAGGCTCCACACAGGTAGCCCAATGTGGGACCCGATCCCAGGACTCCAGGATCACGCCCTGGGCCAAAGGTGGCGCTAAACCGCTGAGCCACCCAGGGATCCCCCTGGAGATTTCTCTTAAATATGACTCATGGTTGTGGGTTTTTTGGTGTGTGTGTGTGTGTGTGTGTGTGTGTGTGTGTTTTCTTTTTGGTAAAATACTGGTACTTTTAATGTTACATAACTTTCCAAAATAAAAGTGACAACAGTATGCAATAGGCATCTGTAACGAACAGGTTATTAAAGGAAATTTTAAATTAAAATCAAGTTGGAAATTTAAATTAGTCATCTCTGGCTAATGCAGAGAAAAAGAAGTCACTGTGCTGGGACTGATCTAGTAGATAATCTAGTTTTCCACATCTGTGAAAGCAAATTCACTCGATCACTTGGGCTGAACGACAATTTGTTTTGCTTTTCCTGACTTGTATTCCACTTAGCACTTCTTCCTCTTTTTTTTTTTTAAGATTTTATTTATTTATTTGACAGAGAGAGAGAGAGAGAGAGAGAGAGAGAGAGAGCACAAGCAGGGGGAGTGCCAGGCAGAGGGAGAGGAAGAAGCAGGCTCTCTGCCAAGCAAGGAACCTGATGTGGGTCTTGATCCCAGGACCCTGGCATCATGACGTGAGCCGGGAGGCAGACACTCCACCGGCTGAGCCACCCAGGTGCCCCACGGGCACGTCTGATAGATTTCACAGCTGAACCCAATATTAAAACTGCAGCCAAATACGCTTTTCAACACATTATCTTCTCATTTACAAAATGCCATGCAAGTTTATTCACAATCTGAACACCGCCCCCTCCCAAAGTACCAGCGAGGAGATGGCCGAGAACACGACTCCTTATGGAACCTCCCTCCCAGCCCTGCCTAACCTGAGGACTATTTTAAAAGGAATGGCCTAAAATCTTAGCTTTCACTTTCTTTGAGTCTCATCATCTTTTACAAAACAGAACAAAAGACATAAGCAAGGCTTAGGGGCTGGCTGCAATGCAACACCTTTTTAATTGACGTACAGTAGAGGAGGGTTGGTCTGCTGGCATGGAGTTAGGGAGGGATTAATTCCACACACGAGAAGCTGTGTTTCCAGTTGCTTCTGATTCACATTAGGGGTCACGATAGACTCTGCCGAATGTGGCCTACAGCCCAAGGGAAGCTCTCACAAAGTTGAGGAGACTGATTAGTATTTTTCTTCATCTGCTGCTTGATATTTCCCAGTTGTTACTAAGACACCCAGTGTGCCGACATTCTGAGCCCCACCAACATCATCCCTGTAATCTTCTATCATGATGGCCTCCTCAGATTCATGGCCAGCACCCTGCAATGCCTCCACAAAGGACATTTTCTCTGGTTTTCCCACTACAGTGGCCTCGGTGTCTGTGGCCTACTCTAAAGCCGTCAGGAACAGGCCAGGCCCGGGGCTAGACCCTCTCTCCTCTTGCAATACTTGGCTTTGTAGATTATTATCAGAGGCACCCCATCCGGGAGTAACCAGGACACCCAATTCAGAATTTGATAATCAAAGTGTTCTGGTGCCAAGCCTATGACCACAGCATTAGGATCACTTGTTCGTATTTCTCTGAAATCAGGTAGGGGCTGATCATCTATTAGTAGGATGTGTCCAACCTGTTTCTGCTCTCCGAAATTTTCTTTTTTTTAGAGACACAGAGAGTGAGTGAGGGCTTGTTCTGAGGGTAGGGGGTGGGGCAGAGGGAGAGGGAGAGAGAGAATCCCAAGCAGATTCCATGCCCAGCATGCAGCCCGACATGGGGTTTGATCTCATGACCCTGAGATCATGACCTGAGCCGAAATCAAGAGTCAGACACTCTATTGACTGAGCCACCCAGGCGCCCCCCTGCTCTACTAAATTTCTGGCTGTAATCAGAGAAGTGAATATTTCATCTTCAGAGATCTCAAACACCAAATTTTTCAATCTTTCCAATAGGTCTTGCTTGCTCTCTCTGGTTGTATTGGTCACACACCTAACCATGACAGAGGTTAACCATATAACCTTTTATGAGCTTCCTCTGCGCCTGACACAGCTGCAATTTGAGCGCGAAGTGTGCCACCGAGATCCACCAAAAGAGCTTTAACCCACAGTGTGGAGCACTTCCCCCAGCTTCGTCCTCAGCAAAGGCCCCTGCTAACAGGAAAGGCAGCATGGTGGTGGTGGTGGTGTCCTTGAATCCAGCCCCAGGGTGCCAGTGACGCAGCTGCTAGAAGCCGGGAACTGGGCCCAGGGCCGCTCACTGGTTCTGTTTTACCCTCATCCCGAACTGTAAGACCTGAAGTCCCAGGTTTGCTGAAATGACAAGCACCACCCATGGTTGGGTGCTGTGTGCCCGGCCCTGGTTCCAAGCACTTGATTGTGCAGGAGTCACTCTTGTAAGGTCTGGATCAGTTCCTGGCCAGCAAACGCTAAGTACATGTCAGCTTTCACTGTGATCCTCGTAGTGATCTCCATTTCACAGAGGCATAGAGACTTCCTACTCAATTTCAAAGAGGAAATATTCTGTATTATTATTCCTAGTGCTCAGGAAAATGAACCACGAGTCTTCTACAATGCCTGGGGATGTCTGGGCCCCTCTGGGGAAAGCCTCCTCTACCGGTGTCAGAGTCACTCTCCTTCTGGTTGGTATAATTCAAATTCCTTATCAAAGGGAGAAACAGGGGGATCCCTGGGTGGCTCAGTGGTTTGGTGCCTGCCTTTGGCCCAGGGTGTGATCCTGGAGTCTTGGGATCGAGTCCCACATCGGGCTCCCTGCATGGAGCCTGCTTCTCCCTCTGCCTGGTCTCTGCCCCTCTCTCTCTGTCTCTCTCATGAATAAATAAATAAAAATCTTTAAGAAAAAAACAAACAAAGGTAGAAACAGTGGTTGACAGCCATCAGGAGCTCACAGCTGGCCTCTGTTCTAAGGTTCAGCTGGATAAACTCCAGAGACTAACAGGACAGCTTTGTGAGGGCAGCACTCTCGTCACAAAGCATATTCTACAGGCGAGGAAAGGGGGAATCTGAGATGAAAGCACTTGCTAAGGGATGCCTGGGTGCCTCAGTGGTTGAGTGTCTTCATGCTCAGGGCATGATCCTGGGGTCTTGGGATCAAGTCCCCCATTGGGCTCCCTGTGGAGAACCAGTTCCTCCCTTGTGTGTGTCTCTGCCTCTCTCTCTGTGTCTCTCATGAATAAATAAATTTAAAAATACGTTTGTTTTTTTAAAGAAAGCACTTGCCCAGCTAGTAGTAGCCAACTGGGAAGCAAGCCCTGGCCTCCCTGCTTCCCAGGCCCCTGCTGGGACTTCCCCGGACTCCCCCTGTTCCCCATTCCTACCCACCCTCCTCCATGCTCTGCCCTCAGCTTGCAAGAGCTTTTAAGATCTTACCCTCCAGGATCCCAACTCTCCTCCTAGCCTCCAGCCCCTTCCCTCTCTGACTTCCCTCGCTGCATCCCCCCCGCCCCCCCCACTCTGGCCCTCCCATCACTGCCTCATCTCCTCCTTTTGTCCCCACAGAATCTGACCCTCCATCCCTGCACCTCCTTCCTCCAGCCCTACCCCCCCTTTAATCCCTGCTCCTCTGCTCACCCAACACCCGGAGCCAGGTATGGGCACCCCTGCTGCCCTCGGGGAACATGGCGAAGCGGCAGGTGTAGTTGGCTTCATCATCTGCGCGCAGTCCCCGCAGGGCCAGTGACCCGTCCCGCAGCTCCTCACCGGGCCTGGCAGCCACAAACTCCAACCGCCCAGGCTCCGGGAAGCTGGGGCCCTGCGTGGGGTGGAAGACCGCCACATTGAAGTCCTCTCCTGCCGCATCCCGCCGGGTCCAGGTCACCTGTGTCACGTGCACCGCATGCTCCAGTGGCGGCAGTTGGCAGGACAGCTCTGCAGTGTCGCCCAGGAGGCCATGTACCTGCGCCGGCGCCAGCACACCCACGGTCACAGGCCCTGCAGGGGAACACAGGGCAGGGTCAGACCCGGCGTTGGGAGGTCTGGATGCCGAGGGGCACCGCCCACTGGCACCCCCACCATCCCAGTCCCTACCCGGGCCTGCAACCATCCCCACAGCTTCACTGTGCTGTTATTACCGTATTTCCCCAATCTCAGCATCATCGATGCTTTAAATTGTGGTCCATATTGTGGTTAAAAACTTAAATCTGCCATTTAAACCATTTTAAGGTGCCCAATTCTGTGGCAATGAGTCATGTACGTAACTATTACTACTATCTAGTTCCAGAACGTTCTCATCGGCTCAGTGTTGTCAATGTCACTGGGATGCTGTCATTTACAGGATGTCCAATTGAGGGGTAGAAAAAAGGAGGCAGAAACTTTAAATCTTAGAATCTATGAAATATGGTAATATTAGTATTAGTATTACTATGCATGGACCCTGATTGGGAGGTTTATAGGGGATCCTGGCACAAGAAGGGAGGCGATTATAACCCAAGGATTTTGGATCCCTTCCAATCTCTGTTGTGAGGCTTCAGGCAGGTTATTTAACCTCTCTGATTCTTTCCCAGCTTGTAATGTGGGACTAATAACAGTTAGCACAGGTTGCTTTACACAGGTCAGGGGCTGTTCTGAGTGCTTCACACATCTCTTAGCATTTAGTCCTTAAACAGCTCTTTGAGGCCAGCACTACTGTCAGCCCCACTTTATAGACGGGGAAACCAAGGCAGAGAGTCGTTTGCTCCAGGTCACAGAGAGGGTAAATGGCAGAAGTGGGATTTGAACCCTGCAGTCTACACTTGGCAGTCTTGACCTTTAACCCACCAGGCTCCCTATTAAAATCTTTCAGCCTCAGCACATAGTAGGTCTTCACTATGTCTTGGCTTTTATTGCTATGAATAAACACGGTGATATACATTCTTATTTTTAATAATAAAGATAATGGAGACAGTGGGAAGGAGTTAAGTTCTTTGAACCCCGGTACTGCTACTCAGCAACTGTGGGTCTGTGTGCAGGTGGTTTCACTCCTCTGAGTCTAGTTTTATCATCTGTAAATTGGGGGATGGTTATAACATCATAGGGTTATTGAATGGACGAGACAGTGAAATCTACGTGGAGGGATTAGCATGTCCCAATGGCTCTATCAAGGTGAATGTTATAATAATTGTGTTATGAGGAAGAAGAAGCTGGGAGGTGATGGACAGGGGTGCTTAGAGCGTGCTGGGTGGAGGAGGGCATGGTTTGGACACAAGCAATTGTGGAGTGGTGAGCATGCTAACATGGGTTTGAATCCCAGCTCTGCCACTGCTGAGCTGCATGGCTCTGGGCACATGGATCTCCTTCTCCGGTACTTTCCTCCAGCAAACAGCAAGTTTCCTCCCTGCCAAGGTGCCATTAAGATTGAGTGAAGTCTAATAACCACACTTTGGTGCCTATCTGTGCCAGACACTGAGCTGCTTTCTGACACGTGGCCTCCTGCAACCCTCTCCATTGCCCCAATGAGATGTGCACTAGTTTTTTCATCCCTACTGGACAGAGAGGTGAGGTGCACCTCTGAGGGTTAAGCCACTTGCCTAGGCTAACGGAGGAGTAGCATAGCCTAGGGCCAACCCCGGGCCTGATCTACCCTGCACCTAGGATCCTGGGCACCAGGCTCTCCTGCCCTGGTCAAGGGGGCCCTGACCACTATTTTCATTTACTCATCGGACCTGCTACTTCTTGCTGGTGCCTTGGGCAAATTACTTCCCCTCTCCATGCCTCAATCTCCTCATCTGTAAATGGAGGTCACAGTGGGACCCATATTGGAAATCTCCTTAAGAGATTTGGGTTGGTGGCCCTCTGTGAACTCCTCAAACTGTGGAGTTCCTCTTTTCTGGAACTGTGCCTGGTGTTCTGGGAGTCACCTTTTTGGTGAGATAAGGGACCGTGGCTTCCCCAAGTCTACATTCAGTATTAAAACTGTTCATACGAATTATCAATATCACTATGCTACCAAGTGCATCCAACTTTGCTCAGCATCCTCCCAAGACACAGTCATAAAAAGTGTCTGCCCCCCACCCCCTCCCAGCTACCCCAATCCCCAACACATTTTATGGAAACACAGAGCTTAGGAAACTCTCCTGAGCTCTCACAGGCATTAAATGCCAAAAGTGGGATGCCTGGGTGGCTCAGGGGTTGAGCGTCTGTCTGCCTTCAGCTCAGGGCATGATCCCTGGGCTCAAGTTCCTCATCTGGCCCCCGGCAGGGAGCCTGCTTCTCCCTCTGCCTATTTCTCTGTGCCTTTCATGAATAAATAAATAAAATCTTTTTTAAAAATGCCAAAAGCTGTTTTGAAACCAGGGCCCGCTGGAGTTCAGAGCTGTATCCCCAGGACTTGGAACACTGACAGACACATAGTAAGCGCTGAATGCATGCACACGTGCATGAATGAATGAATGAATGAATGGCCATGCTCTTAGAGCCATACATTTGGGGTCAGAAGGGGGAAAGGGTTATGTGCCACCGCCCTCTTATCCCCCCTCCCCCATCAAGCATTCTCTGTGGGGATCAGCGGGCCAGGGTTTGGTATCTGGTGGGGGGAAGAACCGGTGAGCAGTCACAGGACTTGAGGTGGCGGCCCGTGAGTCACCCTCCGCAGTAATTTTCCTGGACCCATGGCAGCGAACTCGCTTTCTGGGAGCCTGAGGGCCCGCCGGTTTCCGCAGCCGGGGGCGGGGGGAGGCCGAGCATCCCGCTGGTGGAGAGGGAGAGGGGGACCAGCGGCCGCTGGCCCGCCCGGGGGTGACTCACCGGCTTCCGTGGGTGCCCAGGGCAGCAGCGGCAGCAGCCACAGCAGCGGCGGCGGCCACATAACTGGGTTCCTCCGGGTGCCCCTCCGGCACAGCCTCTTCCCCGGATCTCGGGGTTCGCGCTCCCTCCCCGGCCGCCGCGGACGCCCAGCCACTGCCCAGAGAACCGGGCAGCCTAGTAGCACCGAAACCCCGCGGGCGCTGAAAAGCTCCCACCGACCCGCACCCCGGCTCTCCGGCGCCTGCAGAGTAGGGGCGGGGCGGGGCGGGGCGGGGCGGGGCGGGGCGGGGCGGGGCTGCCCCTGCGCGCCTGCGCAGAAGAGGCCGCAGGCTGGCTGGGGCCGGAGCCGTCGCGTCAGGGCGCTGGAGGTCCTGCCGGGTGCTTTTGTCGTTTCTTGTTGAAGTGTACCTAACAGAGTGTTGTATTAATTTCTGGCTTCCAGTAGAGTGATCCAGCACTTCTGTACCTTTCTCCGAGCTCACCGCAACAAGCACACTTTTTTAAACTGCTATTTTTTTTTTAAGATTTTATTGATTTATTCGTGAGAGACAGAGACAGAGAGGCAGAGACAGAAGCAGCTCCCCGCAAGGAGCCCGATGCGGGACTCGATCCCGCGCCCCGAGATCGCGGCCTGAGCCGAAGACAGATGCTCAATCACTGAGCCGCGCAGGCGTCCCAATTTTTTTTTTTAAGATTCTATTTTTTCATGAGAGAGGCAGAGACATAAGTAAAGGGAGAAGCAGCCTCCCTGCGGGGAAGTCCCCGTGGGGGACTGAATCTCAGGACCTCAGGATGACGACCGGAGCCAGGCAGACGCTCAACCACTGAGCCACCCAGGTGCCCAACAAGTGTACTCTTAAGGCCCCTCGCCTGGTTCCCCCTCTTCCCCTTCCTTCTCTCTATTTAACAACCTGTCCCCCCCTCTCCCTCTGTGTTCTGTTTCTTAAATTCCACCTAAGTGAAATGGTTCATATTTGTCTTTCTCTGACTGACTTACTTCACTTTTTAAAGGTCAAGTTGGCTAAGTGCGAGAGCAGACATTCCGACCTACAATCCAGACAGATCCCACGTTCTCAACCACCAGGCATAAACTCTCTGGATTTTGGAGGCAGACAAGGCCTGGGCTTATATAGGGCAAGCTGCTCCTCCTTGCCCTCCTAATCTGAAAAATGGGCATGATAACAGTACTCACTTCACAGGAGGGTTTATGAGGCTTAAACAAGCAACTGTTTAGCCCAATTCCTGTATTACCCAATAGACAACAGCTATAACAATAACAACTAGTATCAATGTGTTCACAGTTATCATTGAATAATCATGTCGGTGAGAATGATGTTCCACCCATTCTTTGACATAAATTCATTGAATCAGGTACTATTCCTGGCACGGGGAGGCAGCAGAAAATAATACAGACACAAATCTTCGCCTTTGTAAAGCCCGCCTTTTGCTGGAAGGAAACAGATGTTAACAGGTTAATTAATACAGAGAACACAACCCTGTCTGGTGGCGATGATGGTCAGAGAGCAACATACAACAGGGAGAAGGATGAGAGGATGAGAGATTGAGAGAGAGAGAGAGAGAGAGAGAGAGAGCATGATAGAGACAGATGAGAGGAATAGAGACACCTTGCAGAGACAGTGACTGGGAGGTAGGGAGCAAGAAAGAGAGAAACAGATATGAAAAAAAGAGACACAAGATGAGAGGCCAAAAGAGAGGAGAGGCAGACACAAGGACAGACAGCCAGATGAGAGAGAATTAAGAGGTGACAGAGAGACTCAGAGAGCCATGTACTCAGACACAGAGCTTGGGAGACTCCCTGGTCCCCAGCTCTGCCCATCCTGGCTATGGTCCCCACCAGGCCCCCTAGCAGCTCTGACCCTTGTTCTATGACATCCCTATATCTTTCTAGACAATTCCCCTTTTAGGTTTGACCAGTTTGGTGTTTTTGTTTTTTTTTTTTTGTCTCTTGCTGATGTCTTTTACTTGGACCTAGTGCTCCCTCAGGGTGTGTGGCTGTGGGTGGGTGGCTCTGATGCCTGATGTCTCTTGTCCTGGGTGCAGGTAAATTTCTGAATGGAAACATGGAGGCTGGTCTCTGTGAAATCTCTGAATTTTCTCCTCCTCCTCCTCCTTCTTCTTTTAAAGATTTTATTTATTTATTTATTTATTCATGAGAGACACGGAATGAGAGAGGCAGAGACACAGGCAGAGGGAGAAGAAGCAGGCTCCATGCAGGGAGCCTGATGTGGGACTCGATCCCGGGACTCCAGGATCATGCCCTGGGCCAAAGGCGGGCACTAAACCACTGAGCCGCTCAGGGATCCCCTCTTCTTCTTTTTTTAAAATGTAAATCTTATTTTATTTAAATTCAATTAATCACCATATAATATATTATGGGTTTCAGAGGTAGAGGTCAGTGATTCATCAGTCTTATATAACACCCAGTGCTCCTTGTATCATGCTCCCTCCTTAATGTCCATCACCTAGTTACCTCATCCCTCCCCCAGGCTGTGTGAGCAGCCTTCAGTTTGTTTCCTATGATTTAGAGTCTCTTATGGTTTGTCTCCCTCTCTGATTTCATTTTATTTTTTTCCTCTCTTCCTCTATGATCCTCTGTTTTGTTTCTTAAATTCCACATATGAGTGAGATCATATGATAGTTGTCTTTCTCTGACTTCTTTCGCCTAGCATAATATCCTCCAGTTCCGAGACACCTGGGTGGCTCAGTGGTTGAGCATCTGCCTTCAGCTTAGGGCATGATCCCAGGGTCCTGAGATCGAGTCCCACATTGGGCCCCCTGCATGTGGGAGCCCAGCCTGCTCCTCCCTCTGCCTGTGTCTCTGCTTCTATGTCTCTCTCATTAATAAATAAAATCTAAAAAAACCCTCTAGTTCCATCCATGTCATTGCAAATGACAAGATTTCATATTTTGATGGCTGAGTAGTATTCCATTATATATATATAAAATATATGCAAATATATATATATTTATCACATCTTCTTTATCCATTCATCTGTCGATGGACGTCTGGACTTTCTATAGTTTGGCTATTGTGGACATTGCTGCTATAAACATTGGAGTGCAGGTGCCCCTTTGGATCACTACATTTGTATCTTTGGGGTAAATACCCAGTAGTGCAATTGCTAGGTTGTAGGGTAGCTCTATTTTCAACTTCTTGAGGAACCTCCTTACTGTTTTCCAGAGTGGCCTGCATTCCCAGCAACAGTGTGAGAGGGTTCCCCTTTCTCTGTATCCTTACCAACAATTGTCATTTCCTGAACTTGTTAATTTTGCCATTCTTACTGGTGTGAGGTGGTATCTCATTGTAGTTTTGGTTTGTATTTCTCTGATGCCAAGTGATGTGGAACATTTTTTCATGTGTCTGTTGACCATTTGTATATCATCTTTCGAGAAATGTTCATGTCTTCTGCCCATTTCTTGATTGGGGAAATCTCTGAATTTTTTGGCACTCTTGTACTGAGGTGCTGAGTTATCTCTAAATCAGGAACCTGTGGCTGCTTCTACATTCCTCCTCTGGACCATGCTGTCACCCTTCGGGGTTCCCCTTCCTCCAGGGCTCCCCAGCTACTGAACATGGAGAGCCACCTCTCAGAGCTCTGGATGGGAGAGGCTACCCCCTCCTCCGCTGGTGTTTGAGCTTCGGATTTGGGGCCCACCTCACCACATACTCTACCTCTTCCCCACTGGACATCTGACTCCTCTTTGACAAGAATGGAGCCTCTGTCTGAAAACAAGCCATTTGAACCCTGGTCCTAAACAATGTCACATAAAGGGAATGATGCCAGTCCTTAGCCACTGAAGCTTCTCTTCAGTGGGTCAGTGGGGGAGGGGGGTCAAGGGAGAGCTGAGGGTCAGGGATGGGGTGAAGGTTAAGGATGGAGCCAGTGATGGGGTCTAGAAAAATTAGGGTCTCAGGGATGGGGCTAAGGTGAGGGGAGGGTCAGTGGGTAGGGTAGGGCCTTCCATGGCTGGTATTCCTGGCCACCTCCCCCCACCCCCCAAAAAAGTTAAGTCAATAAATACTTGGGAAGGCCAAAAGCACCATGGTGTCAAAATCACTGAATTAAAGCAAATGTCTTATTTCAGGTCTGGATGAGCCTCGTTGAGGATGTGATGGGGGAGAGTGAGTGGTGCCAGTTGGAATGGGTAGGTTGAGACAAGATGTTCTACAGCCCCACCTGCGATCTCTCCCCATCTCTGAGTCCTGAAGGTGGTCTGGCTCCTTGCAACCACTCTCCTTTTGTCAAAGTCTTCCTGTGCATGAACACATCATCAGTTTTGAACCTACTCTCAGTGCACGGGCCTTTTGGGTATTTCCAATGTTCTAATGCTTTGTCCTTGCAGGGCGTGGAGTAACCACGTCCACACTGTTTCCTTGGTGTGTGACGGAATCAGTTCCATGCGTTCCTAGAAGCTGATTGGCTGGGTCCAAGGGCTGGGGCATGTGTGGTTTGGGAGAAGCACTCTTGCCAGCAAGGTAGATGATGGCAGTGCCGTGCTTACTACCCAGAGGCCCTCATAGCAGTAAGCTGGAGCTTCTAAAATTTCAGATGTGGAGCTTGGTCCCAAAGGTCTGATGTAGAAACCTGGAGGCTGGGTAGAGGGGAAGGAGGAAGAAAGAATGGCAGGGGAGAGAGATGGGTGGAGGAGACTGAGCAGGGAAAAGGAGAAGGAGAGGAGGGAGCAGTGGTTTGGAACGTTACTCTTTTGGTTCAAATTCTGGTTTCACCAATTAATAGCTGGTGATCCTAAACCACCTGGATCATTTCTCTTGCCTCCTTTTTCTTATCCATAAAATAGGGGATCAAAAAAACCATATGGTGATGGTTCAATAAGTTATTTTAAAGTAAGTCATACGGTTAAAAAAAGTCATTGGTTTAGGTGCTTCACAAATGGCAGAAACTATTATTGGTGCCCTAGGGCACAATTTTCATCTTCTATACCCTGAGGCTAGACAGGAAAAAGATGGAAAGAAACTCCCAAACCTGCCTGTGCTTGCCCAAGAACTGACTGGCTACCCAGAGTGGGCATTTCCTCTCCGTCATCTCCTGCCAGCTCCAACCCCCACATCCACTGAGCTCCCACCCCCACCCCCACTGGCATGTAGGGTTGTAGTGGTACCTCCCAATGGTGGATGGTCATTCTGTCTTTCCTCCCTTCCAAATCCCACAAGCCTTTCACAACCCAAGGAGGGAAACGAAACCTGCTCTCCCCAGCCGACTTCTATCACTGGTGACTAATCAGAACCATACCCTCTAACAGATAGGTCTCTGCAGTGTGAAGGACAAAGGCCACATTGTAGCTCCTACATGACCTAGCCGCTGATGACAGCTTGATGTCACTTCCTCTTCTGCTTTATAAGTCAGCCAGGCCAAAGCCCTTGCAGTCCCTCTGAATGAATCGTGTTTGCTCATCTCCAGGCTGGGACACATTTCCTCTGTTCTCCACCCGGCAATGGTTACTACTCAGTTCACTACTGAGCCCTTGCCTCCTCCCAGAAGCCTTCCTGGTTTCCCATGCTGGGGAATCCCTCTTCTGGTGTTCCTAAGTCCCCTAAGCTGTAGTAGTAAGTTCCATGGGGGCAGGGTTCAGGGTAGTGAGAATTCAATTTCCTCATTTCTATTTTTTAAAGATTTATTTATTTATTTGAAAGAGAGAGAGAGAGAAGCGCAAGCAAGGGAGGGGTATAGGAAGAGGGAGAGAATCTCAAGCTGACTCCCCGCTGAGCTCAGAGCCCCAGACGCAGGGACAGATCCCACGGCCCTGAGATCCTGCCCTGAACCAAAATCAAGAGGCGCACACTTAACTGAGCCACCCAGGCACCCCAGCTTCCTCATTTCCAACATGGGACTAATAATAGCACCCACTTTCTAGGGTTTGGATTAATAAACAGAGAGGATACATTAAAGCCCATTAGCATAAATATCACCTTCTAGGGACATGGCTGCTCTTGTTAATCATCTTAATGTATTCTTCCGTACAGATGACCCCTTCCTCAGGAAGCCCTCTTGGACTCCCAGGGTGGATCAGAAGCTCCTTATGGGCTCCCGCATCCCAGCATGAACTACTCTGGGTTGTCACTGCTGGAGATGGTTCTCTCTCCCCTATTGGACAGTGAGCCCTGGGGGGGCAGGGCTGCAGCTGCTGTGGTCAGTCCTGTGTCCCCAGTACTGCCCAGTACAGGGTTCTACATGGACCAGGGGCTGGAGGAAGGCATGTTGAATAAATGAATGAATGAATAAGTGAATGAATGAATGGCTTTAGCAATTATTTGATCTGATTTTTATATGTCTATTAGTCATCTTTCCACCTTAGTTCATTGTTGTATTTTCTGTCAATACTGGAATTCAGAAGAAACTTCTTATGAAGTTGTGTGTGTGTGTGTGTGTGTGTGTGTGTGTGAGAGAGAGAGAGAGAGAGAGAGAGAGAGAGAGAGAACAAGCCTGCAAGCTTGAGAGCTTGAGGAAGAGAGTTTGGATGTGTTCTAATAAGGAAGAGATGGGGTGGTAGTGGCAGGAAGCAGGGAGGGCTGAGGACTTGGGAAAAGAATAGGCTGGAGTTTTTTGAATTTTGGAGATGGAATCTGTGAACTCTGTGAGTACAGAGTTCTGAGGGCATGTCTGTCTTATTCTGGGCCATGTGTCTAGCACCTAGTCACACAGAAGGTGCTTGGTAAATATTTGTTGGGTGAATGAACCAGACGTTAAAGTAGCCTAGGAATCTTGCTGTGCCTCTCTAATTGTGGATCATAGTATATTTTGGGCAGGTCTTGAACCAGAGGTTCTTTTAATCTCTTTTAGGAATGAGAGAGTCTGACTCATTGCTGATAAGCAAGGGAGGCAAATATGGGACTGCCATCAACACTCTATTCCAGGCTTCCCGAAACATCGAGCTTTTACTCTATACAGGAGCTCCTTCCTGGCAAGTGTGTGTGGGTTCCCAGAACTCTCAGTACACCACTTAGAGTAGCTACTGCCAATCTATCAAAAATAGTAGTGAAGAAAAAAAATAGTAGTGAAGAGAAATGCACCCTGGCAAAATGGATGCAAAAATGGAGAGGAATTGGGATGCCTGGGTGGCTCAGTGGTTGAGCGTCTGCCTTGGGCTCAGGTCATGATCCCCAGGGTCCTGGGATTGAGTTCTCATCAGGCTCCCTGCAGGAGCCCATTTATTTTCTTATGAATAAATAAATAAAATCTTTTAAAAAAGGAAAATGGGGAGGAATTATGGCCAGAAGTTAGAAATTCTATCTCCTTTCTCCTACTTCTTCCTTCTTGGATTCTGCTTGTGGCCTTCAAGCACCTAACAGATATGGCTGCCTGGGATGTATGGAATGCCTGAACACAAAGTGTGTGACTTTGTGTCTGTCCAGTTACAGAATAAGAAGAACAAGTACGAGATTCTCAATTTTTCTAATCCTGCATCTTCTACCTTTTTCTTTTTTTTAAAAAAAAGATTTTATTTATTTATTCATGAGAGACACACACACACAGAGAGGCAGAGACATAGGCAGAGGGAGAAGCAGACTCCCTGCGGGGAGCCCAGTGGGGCACTGGATCCCAGGACCCCAGGATCACACCCTGGGCTGAAGGCAGACACCCAACCACTGAGCCACCCAGGCGCCTGTGTATCTTCTACTTTTGACAGCACTTTTCACACCCCTGGGGGGATGTTGGGATATGATTTTGTTTTTGGCTCACATTTTCACTGTGGCCTAATTCCTCTGCACCTACCTGTTTTGCCAAGTGTCATTTAAATCTTTGACTTTATGGTTTAAATCTTAGGGTTAGATGTATCCATTGGTATTAGACTGGCTGTAAGGAACAATGAAATTAAAACAGTGGCATAAGTAAGAAAGAGGTGTATTTCTTCTTTCATGTACAAATAATCCAGAGACATTTAAGACAGGGCTAGTTGGATGGCTTCATGGAGTCTCTAGGCACCTGTTTTTCAGTGAGGGTGTTGATAATTGGCTTTCCAAAAAAAAAAAAAAAAAAAGAGAGAGAGAGAGAGAGAGACCCCCAACACCTTTGATTTGTACTGCTTTCCAATTTCCACAGTGTGCATGCTGTAGCATTGAGCACAGACTGTGTAACAGATACAGATCTTGCTATCGTGGAGCTGATAGTCTAATGGTTGATATAAATATTAAATATTCACACCAATAAATATTTAATGACATGATATAGTTAAATGCTATAAAACAGAACAATGCTATGGCAGCATTCAACCAGGGGACTGAATCTGTAACAGGTGTGGTCAGGTGGTCTCTTTGACGAAATCTGCCTTGTTTATTTTTAGTGGTAGGGAGGGACATCACAAAAATTCACAGCTGTTCCAAAGGGCAAGGGAACAGCCTTGCTACAGCCTTGGCCAGAGGACAGCTGGACACAGACTGGTGAGGGCGGTGGCTGCAGTGTCACTGCTGAGACCCAGCCATATTTGGAGCTGCAAGAACCAGTTTCCTTCCTGTCGCCACCCAAAGATTCCTCTTTGGATAGCTAGATAGCTAGCTTCTCTAACAGTGGAGGAAAAAGGGAAGAGTGGGGGGGTACAGCAGGATGTCTCAGGTGACAAAGGAACTGGTTAGATATTAGGGGTTTTCAAGCAAATCTGAGCCTTTGGACAGACCAGGGCAAGGACCCCAGAGTCAGTGATCTACACATATGGCTGCTGGGGGATTTATTTTTAACAACAAGGAGTTAGAGGTGCACCGTCCAATACAATAGCCACTAGCCACAGGTGGCAATATAAGTTAAAATTAAATTGAATTAAAAACAAATAAAAACTGAGTTACACTATTCATATTGCAAGGGTTCAATAGCCACATGTACCTCACCACAGAGAGTTCTGTTGGACAGCACTGGGCTAAAGCACAGGTTTTGGAACTGGGTAGACTTGAGTCGGCATCATGCATGCCTGTGTTACCTCAGGTGAGTGACTTGCCCTCTCTGAGCATCACTTTTATCCTAGGTACACAAGGATAATGACCAATAGCTGACACAGGAGGTAGGACCTCATGAAAGGAGAAGGGGGCTCTGGCCCCAAGGAGAGAGCAACAGGAAAGTGGGCTGATTGGAAACAGGGATTTCAGAGCCAGGTAGCCTAGTTTGGAGAATAGTTCCACCTTGTTCTACCCATGTGACTCTGAGGAAGTGGCATACCCTCTCTCTGAGTCTCCCCTCCTTTGCCAGTAAAATGGGGATGGATTCTCTTTTCCTCAGTAGGTTGAGTGAAGATAATATGATACATGAGGGTAGGAGCTGGCACACAGACAGCCCTCAGCAGACAACATCTGAATTCAGGTCTGTTCCCATTACTGCTAATCATAATGGCACGGTAGGTGGCTTTGTGTCGGTCACAAAACCATTGATGCTCCTCTGCTGTTAGATGCATCCATGCAGGGGCTTCATCCATATTCCTTTCCCCTTGGCCTGCCATCTACCAGGATTCTCCAACAGCTCAAAATCAAGTAGTCAATCTTATATACAAATGGGCCGTGGGTTTCTGGGGGTGGTGACCACCTCCCTCACTTCTCTGCATCCAAGGTTTGTTTGTTTGTTTTTTCTTTTTTGAAAAGGAGCCAAAATAAGTTGCACGTGCAGAAGATATTTTGGGGTGTCTGCCCAGCTTACAAGGCAAAACCTCCCCCACTTTCTGAGCAATGAGCCCCCACAGATAGGGCTGAGCTCCTTGAACTCTGCTTGTACAAATCATTCTGGCTCCCACTGCAGCCACAGGAATGGGACCACAGTTGACACTTGACCCGAGTGAGCCAATCAGATGCCTTCTCTGGGGGTTTCAGGAACAAGGTGAAGGGATTCTGTGGACTTGGAAGTGATGGGATCATGTCTCTCCCCACATGGATAGAGAACCACTGAGCACCCATCTGTGGAGAGAGACACAGAGAGAACTGTGAATCCCATGTGCCCAGAGAAGAGGATGACAAGGGATGAGGGCTGGGGCCTGAGAAGGAGGTTCCAGCAGCGTTCTTACTTTCTGATCATGCACTCTTGTTTTTGGTGGGAACTTGAAAAAATAGCCACGGATTCTTCTCTCCATCAAGAGTTGGTGTTCATTTCCTATTCCTCAAATCTGGGATGGCTATGTAGCTGGCTTTGGCCAGAATGTGGCAGTAACAATGATGTGCCATTCTTTTTTTTTAATTTTTATTTATTTATGATAGTCACACACAGAGAGAGAGAGAGAGAGAGAGGGGCGCAGAGACATAGGCAGAGGGAGAAGCAGGCCCCATGCACCGGGAGCCCGATGTGGGACTCGATCCTGGGTCTCCAGGATCGCGCCCTGGGCCAAAGGCAGGCGCCAAACCGCTGCGCCACCCAGGGATCCCAATGATGTGCCATTCTTAACCTTGGCCCCAAGAGGCAATGCCCCTCTCCTCTCACTCCTGGAATCCTGCCTCTGTCATATGAACAAGCTTGGGTCTGCCTGCTACAGAATGATAGATGATGTGGAGGACAGGTTACTTGTTCCAGACAACTGTCCTAGTCCAGACATCTCCTGGGTAACTGCCAGCTCATCACAGGGGCGTGAGTGGGCCCAGGAGAGATGAGAAGAATGGCCCAGCTGAGACCAGCCCAAACAGATAACCCCACAGAATTCTAAGCTAAATCCATGGCTGTCTTTTTAAGCCATTAAAATGGGGGGATAGTTTGTTACAGAGCAAGTTCTAGCTGGTGCACACTTGGATTTTTAGAAATCTTCCTGGATATTTATATTAAATTTGTCCCCCCCCTTTTTTAGATTTTATTTATTCATTCATGAGAGACACAGAGACATAGGCAGAGGGGGAAGCAGGCTCCCCCCGGGGAGCCCAATGTGGGACTCAATCCCAGGACCCTGGGATCACGACCTGAGCCAAACGCAGATGCTCAACCACTGAGCCTCCCAGGTGCCCCCATCCTTTTGTTTTTATTGGACCACTTAAGTGAGTATCCTTTGCTTTCAGTTCATGAATTTCACGAAATACGGACTGCTTGTATGGGTGGTTTCCAGGGATTTGGGGAGCTGGCCAGGTAGGACGCTGGCAGCTGGGGAGAGGGAGAGTAAAGCAGTCTCTGGGACTCTCAGCAAGATGAGAACATCCCAGAGACAAAAGATCAGGAGGGAGGAGGTCTCATCAGGAGCTCCCAGGAACATCATCTTGTCCCCCAGCCCCAGAATTCTCTTGCTGCCCTTCCTGGCATCACTTTGAGGCTGACAGACAAGTGCCCACTTCAGCAGCACATCCGTATTCTTTGTCTTCTAGCCCTATAATGAGAGAAAGAGAGAGAGAGAGAGAGAGAGAGAGAGAGAGTCATCATCATCATCATCATCATCATCATCACAGATGTGGCTGACATTTATTGAAGGTTTACCATGTGCTGGGCACCATTTGCAGTGCTTTATTCCCGCCGTGTCATGTAATCTGCACATTTTCCCTTTGAGGTACCTATTACCATTAACCTTATTTTACAGATAGGGTAGAGGGTCCCATGGCCTTAACTACAAACAACAGGGATCTCTCCTGGCCATTGGTGGGTGTTGTGGATGTGTGTGGAGCTTCCCTTCAGCCCACACCCCTCTTCCCTAAGAAGTGCTCCTCCTCACTGGGAGGGTCAGGACAGCCACGCCTGTCCTAATGACCTCATTTCCTGAGGCTGGTTCCTTCTGGCTGACGTCAGCATCCATCTGTCATCATACATCTTGGCCAAAATGGTGGGAGGACAGGAAGTGACCCCTCCCACCTGCTCATGAAGGCAGGGACTGGATTTCTCATCTTTCCCCTCCAAGAACATGGTTTTGGGTTAGGATCTGGGTTTGGTTCAGTGTCAGCCATTTGTCAGCTGCGTGTCCTGGGGGAAGGTGAGTTTCTCTGAGCTTTGGTTTACTCGCTTGGAAAATGAGGACAAGAACGTGCCCATCCTTCAGAGTAGCTGTGACTTGAAGGCTCCCAGCACTTACTGAGGGCCTGGGAAGTTGCAACTGCTACAGTGATGATGAGGTAGGGGATTCACGTAGCAGCCTGGCCCTCCCCCACCCCTGGAAGGTTCTACACAGGACTCACAGACTGGAGACCTGGCCCCAGCCTCTCCCAGCTGATCCACAAGGCCTTTGCAAACCATGTCAGCTTGCAGTACACAGGCTACAGAGTCTTGTGTTGTTATGGCAGGAAAAGAGGGAGCGGAGGTTAGGAGTGAGAACTAGGAGTGAGGCCAGGTTCTGGGTTTGAATCCCTCTCCAGCTGTGGGGTTTGGGGCCAGTCACTTCTCTCTGAGACTTAGTTTCCTCTTTGATAAAAACAAGGTCTTTTTCTTATCCACCGCCCCACCTCCCTAACCCCACCTGCTGAGCTCTTGTGGAAATTAGATAGAATAATGTTTAGCAAGCAGATAATAGGTGCTCAGTACATGGTAAGATATTATAGTATTACCATAATAGCTACTACATCTAGCATTGAGATGCAAGTCAGGTGTAAGTCAGATCCCATCCCTCCTCTAAACCCTCCATGGCTTTCATGTCACTTAGAACAAAAGCCAAGTCCTTATATGGCCCACAAGATCTCCGTTCCTTCTCTGATCTCATACCTCATGCCCTGTTTCTCTTCCCACTCCTCACACCACTCCAGCCATGCTGACCTCCTTGCTATTGCTTGAACACGCCAGGTGAAGTCCTACCTCAGGGCCTTTGCACTGGCTGTTTTCCCTGCGGGGTACGCCCTTCTGCCAGACATCCACTGACATCCATCCCTCCTTTGCTCAGTGTCTTTGCTCAGATGTCACTTTCTCGGGGAGGCCTTCACTGACTTAGTTAAACTGTGTCCCACCCCAACCCTGGCCTTACTTCCCAGCCTTACTCTGTGGCTGAGCACTCATCATTATCCAACATGCTCTCTATATTTTACTTGGTCATCACCGGAATTGCTGGTGTCTCAGACTAGAACGCAAGTTTGTGCAGGCCTGGACTTTCTGCTGCTATTCCCAGGGTTTTCCCCAGTGTTAGCAGCGCAGATACTCGATAGATGTGTATAGAAGGGAAGAATATGGGGCTGACCGTATTCCAGGCACAGCTGTAGCCACTTTAGAAATACTAGCTTGTTTCATCCTCACGATAGCCCCTGAGGATGGCATTTTGTATATGGTCAAACTGAGGCACAGATGGGGTATGACTTGCCTCTGCCTTCACTGCAGGTACGGAACAGAGCTGGGATTTGAACTGAGGCAGATGAGCTCCAGAATCCCTTTCTGTCGCTCTGTTCCCCGGTGTTCCACCTTGGGTGGGTGCACCAGGGGTCAATATCATCCTCCCTGAGTCTAAAGCTTCTTGGGAGGAGGCTACCGATTGGGCTTCTGTCTTGCTGCAGAGTGAGTTCTGTGGCTCATGGGGGCCGAGCGGACGTCGGGCAGTGGACAGGGGTGAGGACAGCACGTACTTTAGACTCTGGACGATGGTGAAGCTTATTCCTCCGATCAGCATCGCCGCCCCTACATTTCCAGCCACGAGGAGGCTGATGGCAGCTCCTCCTGACAGGGAGAGAACGGGGTCCGGCTCGATGGGCTCAGCCTCTGTGGGATCCACTTTCTCTTCTGGAGGAACAAGAAAGGGTGAGACTGAAGGAGCCATCCTCCCTCCACCTCCCTGCCTCCCACCATTTCACCTCCTGAATGTGTCTTCATCCCATCCCCCTCCTCTTCATCCTCTGGTCTCCACAGCCTCTTCTTGGCTCTCCTGCCCCAGTCTCTCCTCCCACCAACCTCCCCACCACGCAGAAGCCAGAGGGGTCCGTGGAAAGCTCTAACTTGACCCTGTTCCTTCCCTGCTCAGAATTTTGCTGAGGCTTCCCAGGACCTGGGGAGGAAGCATCTCTCATTTTAATCTTTGAAGCTTTGCTACCTGCAGCCTCAGCTCTCTCTCCTCTCCACCTTTAAAACTCAGTCCCATTGGACTCTTCTCAATTTTCTTTCTTTTTTTCTACTCAATTTTCTAAGCTCACCTCTCTTTCCTACTTCCCAGCCTTTGTGCTCCTAGAATGCCATTTATGCCATTTTCCTTCCCTTGGCCTGGATAACTCCTATGTACTCTAGTACTGGCTCAGATGTCCCCTCCTCCAGGAAGCCCTCCCTGACCCCCTTGTTGGGTCAGGTGGCCTCTTGGGTCCCACATCCCTTGGCTCTCCCACCCAGCCTTGCCCACTCTAGTCACTCTAGTCATTACTATTTGAGGGCAGGGCCAGGGCTGTCTCCAGAATGTCCCCAGCACCACCCAACACGGGCTGGTTATGTAGTAGGCAGTAGGAAATTAACATTTTCAGAAGAGTTGACGAATGAGTAAAGGGGGGTCTCGAAAGTCATTCTCAATGAATAAATCAGAGTCACCAGCTGCTATAAGATTTGCACTTTTTCTCTTGAGAATCACCCCAAAATCAAATCCTGAAGCTCCAATTGGACCCTGGCTGGGAAGAGATGGCAGCTCTCTGGGGCCTACCCCAGCCAGGTTTCCATCACTCCTGCCCTTTCCATGCTCTGGACCTTTGCTCATGTGTTCCCTGCTGCCCACATCCCTCCCTGGCTTCTCTACTGGCCAGGTCCTCTATACTATTCTAGCTCACTCCAAGTCTCTTGTCCTCCATGCATAAATACATGAAAAATATATTCATGAGGATAGCTGCTATCATTCTTCTTTTTAAAATAAAGCTCCACATCCAATGTGGGGCTTGAACTCATGACCCCAAAATCAAGAGTCGCATGCTCCACGAGAGAACAAGCTGGGCAGCCTTAAAGCACCTGCTTTCTAACAGGTGTTCTGCTCACCCCAATCACACATTATTTCTGCTCCTTATGACAATCTTGCAGAAGTGTACATGTTCACCCCCATTACACCCAGGAAGAAACAGAGGCTCAGAGAGGGGAAGTCACTTATCCTAAGTCACCTGGCCAGGGAAGCACAGGGGCAGGAATTGCATCCAGGTTTGACCGGCTCCCAGACTACTTTCCTGATCCCAACTAGCTGTTCTCATTATTGCCACCTGGGGCTCTGCACATTCACTGCATACAGTAGTAGTCACAAAAGTAATAATAATATGGATAATACTAATTGCAGCCACGATACTAGCTCATGCCTTCTGAGCACTCCCTAGTGTTCAGTAGTGCTCAGCACTACTATTTGAAGCTGTTTGCCTGCTTATCTCATTGAATGCTCACAACTACACTTTGGGGTGGGTGCTGTTATTATCCCTATTTATAGACAAGGACACTGAGGCACAGAGAAGTCAAGGCACTGGTCCAAAGTCACACAGCCAGGACGTGGTAGAGCCAGAGTTCAAATTCCAAAGCCGGTGCTCAGAACCACTCATTATCACCTGCATTTTTTTTTTTTTCCTGCAGGTGTGCGCTGAGACCTGAGGGGCCAGGTTCACACAGCCAGGAAACAGTTGGAGCCAGGAACCAGACAGCTGGGTCCAGATTCGGAGCTGAGCTTTTATTAGAGTTCATCTCTTTCAGCTGCAGCCTCTGCAAAATGGGCTAATCACCCCACTCTGCCAGGCAGATGGAAGAATGGGATGGCATCTTGGCTATACAGGGTTTCAGAGTGGGTGGCTTTGTAGAAGGCTCAATGCAACCAAGGATGCAAAAGTCTGGAGTGGGGGTGGGGGACTCACCTGGCAGCGAGATGGTCACAGGGTCAGAGGGATACTGTCCTTGGCTATTCTTGGCCGTGCACACATAGGTGCCCAGATTCTCCCAGGACAACCTCCGGATGATCAGCAGAGCCCCGGTCATGTAGGGCTCCCCATTGAGGGTCCAGTGTAGCACGGGCTTGGGGGTGATATAAGAAGCCAGACAATTCAGGACCACTGAGTAATTGAGGTCACTCTGGATAACGCCATCGATGTTGTAGGGGAATGTGAGCAGACTCACCCCCTTGGAACTGGCTGTGGAAACAAGAGCAAGGCCACATGGATGGAGACCACTCAGAGAGGCTGAGCACTTCTTTTGTCCACTGCAGGGACATTCATTCATTCATTCATTCACTCATCAACAAATGTATTTGGAGTTCCTGATCTGTGTCCAGTCCTGCTCCAGACCCGGGCGTACCGCTCCCCCCAATCCCTCACCTTCATCACTTCTAACTGCCAGCACCTCACCCGTTGCCCCAGTACTTTGGCTGCCAGGGCCTGCTCTGCTCAAGGAGGAAGCAGGACAGAGAATTGGGAAATGAGCACACCCAGGGGCAGGCCTATGCAATGACAGGCATGGGCTGGTATATAAATATCCCAGCAACCCAGCCTTCACTTGGACCAGGGTGAGGCCGAGTTGCTGGGAGGGAGTGGATTCTGGATTATTCTGAAAGCCGAGCCCACAGGACTTGCTGATGCATTGGAGAGAGAGAAAGAGAAGAGTCAAGGGGGGCCTCCAAGGCTTGGTGCTGGCGCCACTGGCTGCTGGGAATGCTCTTTACAGAGATGGGGCATACATAATAGTTCTCTTTCCAATGTTTCTTCCAGGTTAAAGACTTGAGGTCCAGGGGTTCTTAGGCCCAAGCTTCATGGTCAGAGAGAGGCCCAGCGAGTATTTGAACCTGGAAGTCTGATGTCGTGGTGAGTACTGGGAGCCTCCACACAGAGCTGATTTCCAAATTCAATGCAATATGATACAGTGAAAAGAACTTTAGTTCAACCTGAGAACTCATGCAAGGCTTCCTGGAGGAGGTAGTGTCTGAGCTAAGCCTTGCAGGAGGAAAAGGAGCCCACCAGGTGTAGAAACAAGAAGCAATGTAAAGAACCACCTGGATCTGGCTCTTACTAGGAGCCAAACACCATTCCAAACACATGCTAACTCATGGTCAGTTATACTGTGAGTGAGACTGATCCGTGCTTGAGCAAAATTATTTAGAAAGTTGTGATCAGCATTTGAAATGTGACATGAAATATAACAGAAAATACCAGAATGCATTGCTCATAGCAATAATTGTTATTTTATGACACATGTCTTTCAATTACTTGTGGTGTGTGTCTATGTGTACACTCCAGATCTTGAGGTGAAGTCCATTTCTCACTGTGGGTCTTGACTGAAAAAGCTTGAAACCCACTGGATTTATACACTTAAATTCTCAAAACAACCTGATGAGGTAGGATCTACCATGGCTCCATTTTACAGATGGGAACACCCAAGTATACAGATGGGAAGTCACTTTTCAAGGATGCACAGCTGGCCAGAGGCAGAGAAGGTATGTCTGTGCAAGGCCATTCCGGTTTCAGAGGCTCCACGAGCTCAGGGCTGAGAAGGGCATGGGCACAGGGGGGGCTCTCCCCACCCTGGTTCCCTGGAGATGGTGCTGGGCTAGAGAGGCCACAGGGAAGGAGATAAGCTCCAGGATCATAGAGAGTCCTGTAGAATCCCAACATGGCCTCTTGCTTCTAGGTGACCACAGGCCATTGACATCACCTCTCTCTCAGCCTTAGATCCTCACCTGTGCAATGGGGTTGGTGCTTGGAGCATCTGCTTTCGCAGGTTGCTGTGAAATCCCCTATGTTTGGTACAGAGTGAGGGCTCAGTAAGTTGGAGCTGGTCCTTCCTGCTTTTTGGTGTTTACTAGCTGGCCTCTCTGCAGGAGCACTTTCTCCCACTCTTTGTGGGGCAAACTCCTGCTCCACCTACACATCCCAGCTTGGATGGCCCCTCCTCTGGGAAGCCCTACCTCTCGCTGCCTGGGAACATGGTCCGTCTCAGCCCCATTCACCCTTGCCAAGTATCTGCTTTGTCACACTCCTGTGTCCTCTGCTAGTTTCCAGCACCATGTCTTGGGGGTGTCATGTTTCTGATGAGCAGGCTACCTCGGGTGTCCAGTGTCTCCTGGCCTGTGTGGCTGTGCCCCTGGGGCCAAGAAGCAGAGAGAACACCATTCAGGCTTCCAGGAACAGGCAGGCGGGCACCGGCTCCTTCAGTCAAGAGGTCTGGAGACGCAGGGAAGGGCAGCTCCGAGGAGGCAAGGCAGGTGCAGGATGCGATCAGGATGCCTTGGGGGAGGTGGGAAGGGAGAGGAGAGAGCAGAGGGAGCAAATGGGACCAAAGGTGAGATGCTGCCCCAGCAAGTAACCCTTCCTGATTTGGGCGAGGAGTATGGCACATTGAGAGTTGATGATCAGGGCGATAGTGACAGAAATAATGTGGGGTGGGCGAGCCTGGGTGGCTCAGTTGGTTAAGTGTCTGACTCTTGATTTCTGCTCAGGTCATGATCTCTGGGTCCTGGACTTGAGTTCCACACTCAGCAGGGAGTCTGCTTGAGGAGTCTCCTCTCCCTCTTCCTTTGTCCCTCCCCCCACTTGAGAGTGCTCTCTCTCTCTCAAATAAATAAATAAATAAATAAATAAATAAATAAATAAATCTTTAAAAAATAGAAAATGAAAAGGGAGCATTCACTGAGCACCTTCTATCAGCCAGATGCTGTTCTAAACACTGAATACGTATCATCTTACTTACCCCTTACATTGACCCCACCAAGCACACATTACTTAGGGTGTCCTGCAGATCCGTTCTCTAACCTTCTCTGCCCTGTTCTGCTCCCCGATAAAGTCTGACTTCTCTGAGCTGCATTGCTGGGTCCCCTTATCTTTTGCTTCCGGTTAGCTTCTGCCAATGGGAATGACTTTGAGGTAGCTGATCCCACAGCTCTCTCCCTGCTTTGTCAACATGGGCCGGCTGTGTCCCTCTACTAAAGCTGCTGTTGGTGGCCCTCTCCATATACCACTGTCTCTGAGTTTTGGGGTCTGTTCTTCCTCTTACGGCTTCTAGCACAGAGTGGGTAACAGCTTTCTGCTGTGGCTAGCCCTCTGGTGCTGCATGGCCTCAAGGGGGTTTACTTATGCCCTGCTTACATTTCTGCAAATAGTCCCTTTATTAAACTCCCCTCAAGGGGTGCCGGGGTGGCTCAGTTGGTTAAGTGTCTGCCTTCACTTCAGGTCATGACCCCAGGGTTCTGAGATTGAGCCCCAAGTTAGGCCCCTGGGTCAGCGGGGGGTCTGCTCCTCCCTTTCCCCCCTGCTTTTCCCTCTCTCTCCTGCTCATGCGTGTGCGCTCTCTCTCTCCCTCACATAAATCAATAAAAAATTTTAAAAGTCTTTAAACCCCTCTCATTAGTTTTTTGGGTAGACCATTTTTCCTGCTTCAACCCTGAGTGACACAACTATTATACCCTGAGTAGGACTGAGGAAAATGGAAGCTCAAAGAATTGAAGACCATTGTCCAGGATGTCATAGGTGGTAAACAGCAGAATTCTGTAGTAAAGTAGACTGGTGATTGTGTCCCACTGTCCCCAGTTGCTCTCACTTCCTTTAATTACATTTCCATGCGGCTTAGGGTTTAGAGCAGAATCCTTGGAATCTGGCTCCAGACCCTATGAACTTACCCACCCCATTCTACTGCCTCTCACTGGATTGATGGCTGTTGCAATAAGTACACAAGATCCAGTCATAAAAGACTAAAACATTTGAGATGAAAATGTAAAGAACTTTGGCCAAGTGAAAAAAACAAACACCACCCACCAAGTCAAAAGAACAATAACATGCCAGGAAAAATTATTTGCAACAAATTTCATGGTCCAAGAGCTCATTTCGTGAATATGTAAAAAGTTCTGAGATATCAATAAGAAAATAGAAACATATACAAAGGATATGGATAGGCAACTCATAGAAAAGAAAATTCAAATGTCTCTTGACATAAAGAAAATGTTCAGCTGTGCTCCCGGTAAGAGAAATGCAAATTAAAAACACCCCAAGGTAACACCTTTCACCTATCAGGTTGGCAAAGGTCCAAAAGATTGATGACTCGTCTGCTTTGGTGAGACTGAGGGCAATAGGAAAGACCTATTCATGGCTGACACAACCCATGATGAGGGCTGTCTGGTAAAGTCTTTTGGATTAAAAAATTTCCATATCCTTTCCATATCCTTAAAATATCCTTCCATATTTCCATATCCTTTTCCTCCTTTGACTCTGAAATTAAACATCATGGAATGTGTTTTACAGATACATTTTCTCAGTATAAAATGTCTAATGGTCAGGGTCATCTGCTACCCCTTAGTTATAACGGGTAAAGATTGGAAATATCCAAGTGCCTGACAATAGGGAACTGATTTAATAAATTATGGTCCATTCAGACAAGAGAACAATACAGTTATACAAAAGGCTGAAGAAGCACTCCAGAATGCCATCAACTGAGAGGGAAAGATCTCCAGAGTAAGTAGTTAAAAAACCGATTTAATAAATTATGGTCCATTCACACAATAGAACAATACAGTTATTATACAAAAGGCTGAAGAAGCACTCGAGAATGCCATGAACTGAGAGGGAAAGATCTCCAGAGTAAGTAGTTAAGATACAAAGGCATGCTTCTGGATAGTTCTTATGGTGTGCTACTTTTGATGTAAAAACAGAAGAAAAGTAAATATATATATATATATATATATATATATATATATATATATGCATTTCTTATAAACATATAAAGAAACCGTGGGAGGATTCATACATGAAAACAGTGGCTGTCTGTGTGTGACAGCGGGGAGGGAAGGAGAGAACTGGGTGAGTGGATAAGACAGTGACTTCACTCAAGGCCTTTTATTGAGACTCAAACCTTTGAGACTCAAACCATGGGAATGTATAGCCCATTCAAAAATTAAGTAAAATTTTTGGGTGCCTGGGTGGCTCAGTCAGTGAAGCGTCTGTCTTTGGCTCAGGTCATGATCCCAGGATCCTGGGATGGAGCCCTATGTAGGGCTCCCTGCTCAGCGGGGAGCCTGCTTCTCCCTCTCTCTCTGCCCCTTCCCCTGCTTGTGTACTTTCTGTCAAATAAATAAATAAATAAATAAATAAATAATAAATAAATAAATAAAAAAATCTTTTAAAAAATTAAGTAGAATTTGAATAAAGAACATAAGAGAGAGAGAAAAAAAAGAACATAAGAGAGCATAAACTATGTTCTTAATAGTCTTACACACATACCCCAGAATGTAAGCTCCAGAATTGGATGGCCAGTGGGCAAGCCCCAAAACTTATTAGCTCTGGTGACTTTGGGAAAATTAATGATCTTCTCTGAGCTTCAGTTTCCTTACCTATAAAATGGGAATGATAATGCCTCCAGGGATTTTTCAACTGGGGAGGATTTTGGTCCCCCCAGGGGGACATTGGCAATGTCTAGAAATCTTTTTGGTTGTCACGACTTGGGGTGGGGGGTGTGCTACTGGCATCCACTGGGTAGAGGCCAAGGAAGCTGCTCAGCATCCTACCATGTTCAGGACAGCCCCGGCAAGAAGGAAAGCATTGGACCCAAAAGTAAGCAGTGTAGATGTTGAGAAGCCTTGATCGAATGCTTGTAAAGTGCTTAGAACAATGTACCAACAAGGCGACCGCCAAATCAGTGCTTGACATTACAATGATAATTATCATCACTGCTACCATTCTTGCTTCTGCAACTGCAAGTACTAGGTATAGTATAAATATGTCTTTTAAAGATTAAAGAAAAAGCAATACAAGGGAGCCTGGGTGGCTCAGTCGTTGAATATTTGTGTTTGGCTCAGGTTGTGATCCCAGGGTCCTGGGGTTGAGTCCCGCATCGGGCTCCCCCACACGGAACCTGCTTCTCCCTCTGCCTGTGTCTCTGCCTCTCTCTGCGTCTCTCACAAATAAATAAATAAAATCTTTAAAAAAAATTTAAAAAGCAATACGTAAGTGGTTATGTTTTAAGGATCAGAAATACCCACTTACAGAACAAATGTTAAAACATCAGCTTTCTTCATGAATGGGAAGTGGTGGCGAGGGGGTGATGACCCCCAGGGCAGCATCACCAGACACAGACAGTGCTGTGTGTGAAAGGTCTGTGGAAGGGCAGCTGCTGGGAGGGGGGGATCAGCTGAGAACCTCACGCTGGCTCTGCCAGGGTCTCTGCCAGATTCTCCCAACCATTACTCACTGGTTGCCTCCACAACTCTGAGGTCAGCAGCACTAGTCTGTTTTATGTCAGGGAAACTGAGACAGAGCGAACTTGAACCTTAGATCCAAGGTCGTAAGTGGATAGTTGGGAGTTGTCTCATCTTAGGGCCTTCTAGGTGGGTGCGGGGCTCACTGCCCACCACCTACCTCCACTGATTTTATCTCTTAGCTGGCAGCTGGTGTGATTTGTCTTTATTTAAGATTTTATTTATTTATTTATTCATGAGAGACACAGAGAGAGGCAGAGACACGACACAGGCAGAGGGACAAGCAGGCTCCCCACGGAAGCCCGATGTGGGATTCGATCCCAGGACCCCAGGACTCACAACCTGAGCCAAAGGCAGACGCTCAACCACTGAGCCCCCCGGGCGGCCCCTAGTCCTGAATTCTGAATCTACCCTTGCCAGCCAGCCGTCTTGGACTCTGCCCCTCTCTGAGCCTCACTTCCCTTCTCCTAAAAAGGGTCAATAGCACGGCCTTCTGGGGATTTCAAGAGTTCTCGTCCATTTTTCAACTGACTGGAGTCAGAGCTCTGACAGGGGGCAAGTCTGACTTGGAATAGAGATTCCTCTCGCTGGGAGTAGAGGACTGTCCTCTCCCTGTCCCCAACCTGTGGGTGAAGCCATTGTTTCTTACTCACCTGTTAGAAGTAGCCTCTTCCAGGCAGGGCTGCGGCCGGGGCGGGCGTCCAGAGGACACCTCATGCCTCGTTCTGTCCAGGGGCCACACGGGGGAGGTCGCCGCGTCTGGAGTGGGGGCCTCCTACCCTGCGCTATCAGGTCGGCATGCCTCAGCCCCGCCCCCGTCCTGGCCCCACCCCCGCCTCCCTTCCCGGCCCTTGGCTGAGAATTCACCTCCCAGACCTGCACTCTTCTCTAGCATTGTTGGGTTAGTGGGAGTGCTGGGGGGGAGCACACAGGGCAGGATTCTGGAGAAGGGGCTTGGGGGTTTCTCTCCCTTTCCTCTCTGCATCCCTTCCAGCCCTCCTGGCCGGGAGAATGATGAAGATGGAGAGTGGGGTAGAATGGTCCTGCCTCTGTCACTTCACATCAGAGGAGAGGAATGGGCAAAGAGCATCAGGTAGGAGGTGGCCAGGGCGTCGCTTGCCTCCTGACTTTGCTCCAGTCTCTGTGACTGTCAGCTCTGAGCTTCTACTTTTCTCTCCTGTAAAATGTGGATTTTTTTAAAATAGATTTTTATTTATTTTATCATTTATTCATGAGAAAGAGAGAGAAGCAGAGACATAGGCAGAGGGAGAAGCAGGCTCCCTGCAGGGAACCCATGTGGGACTCCATCCCAGGACCCCAGGATCACGCCCTGAGCCAAAGGCACACAGATGCTCAACCACTGAGCCACCCAGGTGCCCCACTGCTCCCTTTTCTTAGTGTCTTACACAAATCATCTCACAGCTGACTGCATCTCATTGCTCCAGTCTCAAATCAAATACTACTTGCTCAAAAGAGCCTTCCCTAATCCTGCTGTGGGTGAGGTCCCAGCTTCTTGCTAGCAAGACACACTGTTTTCTTTTCTTTCCAATATTCACTACTGTCTGAAATTATTCATTTCCTTGTCCACTTGTTTATTATTTGTCTCCCCTCTCCCCCATCTATTTCTCTAGAATGTCAGGAAGGTAGCGATTTTGTCTGGCTGTGTCCAGACAGTGTCTAGACCAGTGGCTAGCATATCATGGGTGCTAATAATTTTTTTTATAGTGAATTAAGAATGAGTAAGCGAGTGAGTGTCATGGTAGGTTGGAATTTGAACTCCACCTGACTCAGCACCTCATACTTTTCACTCCCAGAGAGGTCCAGTTGTTTCCTGGGGCAGAGTTTCACCCATGATCCTTTGAAAATAGTTATTATCAAGTGACTTGGTGATATCTTTATTGGCATTAGCCACATTGCCTTTTTTGATGATTTTTGTGAAGGCCTGCTGGGGCAATTAATCTGGCCAGGAGACCACCAGTGGGTGATAAGCAAATATTTGTAACACGATTAATAATCATCTGTGGATGAGGAGTCTGTGCTTTAGCTTGTTTAGCTTTCAGGCTGTTTTATCAGGATAACAGCACCTGGAGTTTCATTTGAGAAACGAGCCTTCTCACAGTTGCAGGGAGAGGAGGCCCAGGCCTGGCCAATTAGAGCACTTCATCCTCCAACCACAGTGATTGGGGAGAGGGTTGGGCACGTGACCCAAGCCTAGCCACTAAGAGCATTTCAGCACTGTGCGTCAGTGATAGCTGGACACATACCATCCACCCGCACTTTTGTTTATTTACTCAATATTTGACTTAAAAATGACTCATCTAAAGTAAGCTTGACTCGGTTTTAGACAATAACACCCATGAAATGACATACTAATATGCTACTTGCATCGATGCAGATGACAGCAAAAACATAATGATGAAAATAAAACATAACTGTCCACATAACTGCAAAAATTTTGATGTGTCATTGAAAGAACATGAGCCTTGATCCATTGCACAATAATGTGAAGATACTTACTGCTGAACTGTACCTTAAAAATGGTTAAGATTGGGCAGCCCTGGTGGCTCAGCAGTTTAGCACCGCCTTCAGCCCAGGGTGTGATCCTGGACACCTGGGATCGAGTCCCACGTCGGGCTCCCTGTGTGGAGCCTGCTTTTCCCTCTGCCTGTGTCTCTGCCTCTCTCTCTCTCTCTCTCTCTCTGTATCTCTCATGAATAAATAAAAACAAAATCTTGAAAAAAAGAAATAGCTAAGTTACATTTGCAGAGATCATAACAAACCATCATCAAGTCCATACGTAACCTGGGGAAGGGTTAGCTAAGTAGGAAAACAGAATGCAAATGGCAGATATAATGAGTCACTTCTGTTTCATTAGCATCAGCTTAACCAATGGAGCAAGTTCAATCTGGATAGTGATGTCTTGTAGATATTATGTAGGCCCTGAAATGGGATGATAAAAAGAGAGAAGAAAAGAAGGAGAAGGAGAAGAAGAAGAAGAGAAGAAAAGAAGTAGTAGTAGTAGTAGTAGTAGAAGAAGAAGAAGAAGAAGAAGAAGAAGAAGAAGAAGAAGAAGAAACTTCACCTCTATGGTATTTTTCTGCCCTAAAACCCAGAACCCCAGTCTAAGTATGAGAAGAGCTTAGCTCAACTCAAATTGAGGGACATTCTACAAAATACTCTGTGTTCCTTAAAATGGTCACGGTCATGAAAAAACAAGGTAGGACTGAGAAATTGTCACAAAGGAGGCTCGAGACACATGAAAACTAAATGCAGTGTGGGATCTTGGATTGCATCCTGGAACAAAAGAAGGACATTAGTGGAAAAATTGATGAAATTGGAATCATGTCTAGAGTTAAAAAAAAAAAAGAATGAGTCCCTCTTGGAGGAGACAGTAATGACAATTGCTAGCATTTACAAAGAACTTGACACTGAATAAGGGGGCACAGTGCTGTATGGCAGGGGATGCCATCGTCCTATTACAGAGGAGGAGAATGAGGCACAGGTAGCCAACCTATCCAAGGCCATGTCGCTGGTACATGAGTGGCAGACCCAGATGCTGGTTTCCAGAATCTGTGATCTTAAGCATTATATACACCAATCTTTTAGTCCCTTGGACCTCCTAACACTAATAGGTGTTAGATATTGTTTCCGCTTTTTCCGAGACAGGAGGAAACAGAGATATACAATGAGTGTGGTTAAATACATTGTCCAAGGCCAGACTCATAAGGCCAAGCCAGCCTTACTTCCTCTGGTCCTGGGACGATGAGTTTCCTGAGACACAGGGTCAGGTCCTGTTTTCCTGGCTCCTTGAGCCCTTGTAACATCATTCATTTCTCCCAGCCTGTGTGTGCAAGTATGTGCATATACACATTTTCAAGGGCTTGGTGTGTTGGAGGAGAGCAGTAAATCATCATTTAACTAATAACACGACAAATAACCAGTGCTGGGTGGCTCTGGACAAAGCTGAATTGTAGAAGGCAGCTGGAAGGCCAAGAGGATCTTCTGTTCCACCAGGGGCTAGGTTTAGATAGGGAGAAGTCTTAATACACATGTTTCATGTTTCCATGGAAAGACTGGTCAGAGGCAACCCCAGCTCCTTCTACGGGGTTTGGAAATATCTGCCTACATTTTGGTTGTCACCATGCCTGAGGACAGAAGAGTACTGCTGTTTACTGGGCTAAATACCCTGTGATAATAGGCAGGACTGTCCTCTACAACAGAAAATTGTCTCACCTAAAATGCCAGTAGAATCCTAGTTAGAAACCTGGAGTTGGATAGGGCCCTGGTTTTTGTTTAACTTCCCTGTTATGAGATTGATGAGTCTGGGGTGGCTCAGACCCCCTCCCTCTGTTTTTAGATTTACCTATCCCTAGAAAGAGTCCATTTTGGCCTGTTACCTTCTGCTATATGATAAAGGACCTACAGGAAATAAGATGATCTGGAAGAGAAATTAGTGGTGCCCTCACCCCTGATATATTAGGCCCTTCTCTCATAGTTAAAGTAGTTTTACCTGGGCACATGGTTGTCTGGAATAAAGACTATGTTTCCCAGTCTCCCTTTCAGCAAGTGTGGCCCCAAGGCCAGGTTCTGGTCAATGAGATGTGAGCAGAATTGCCCTTTTGGGGTCATGCCCTGAAAGGAATGAGGTCTTTCTTTCTTGGTTTCCCTTCCTTCAGGCAAGAGTGGGGACATGGTGGAGTGGCACCTTGGACCACTGAGATGAGTACAACACCATAGGGATGGCCAAGAACAGGATGGAAGAACCCAGGCTCTGGACACCTTCATAGAGCAGAGCTGTATGCAGAGCTGTAACAGCTTGCACTGTTACAGAAGGGAGAAATACATTTATATGTATTTAGGTGTTATTAGAGCTATTCTTATTTTGAATCTGTTACACACAGCCAAATTTATATCCTAAGTTAAGTTGCTCAATTTAAGGGAGCAGAAAGCAGAGGGAGGTGATGGCAAACCCATTAGGCCGCACAGCTCAGTCATGTTTCCTGATATTCTTTATTGTTTGGTGAATAAAACCAACATGTTGCCCTCTCTTTCTCTTTTACTTCTGGATCTCTCTCTCTCTCTCTCTCTTTCTCTCCTGGTTCTGCCTTTAGGCCAGGATGAAAGGTGATCATTGAGATCTTAAATCTCCGCTCAGTTGCTGGTAGGAAAGTAGGTGCAAAGACACCAGATTGTCTGGAGCTTTTTCTGCAAAGCCCCACTCACACAGGGGAAAGACCAGATATGGGTTTCCCCTGGATGTAGGAAGCTGAAGAGAAAATGTCCCAGGGTTTTAGATTGTGGATTTGCTTGCTCAAGCCTTCTTTCTTCTGGGTGTCTTTTCGTGCTACAGAGGCAGGGAAGCTAAAACCACACTTCCTCACTTCTCTTGAAGCCAGGGTTCTGCCAACCTGACATATTTCGTGAGATTTGGAAAGGGGAAGTGAAATGGTGGCCGTGCTTATGATGCTTCTGCCACAGATGAGCACAGTCGTGGAGAGGCTGGTGTCTTTTTCTGGGCCACCATCAGTGACTGGCTTTGTGCATTTTGAGAAGCTCTTATCTTTATGAATCTAGCAAGCATGGCGTGGTTCTAGAGCCAAGAACTCCAGTAGTAGCAGGTTTTTGATTCCCCAATTTTCTAGGATACTTACTAGTGGTAGCAGCTCCCCCAGTGGGTTAGTTCTGCAGCTTCAGATCTTTAGCCTGTGGGGCCTGATAGAATTGGCTTCCTTTTCCTTCCCATCAGAGAGCACCCAGCTAGCTGTCTTTCTGTGGGCTAGGTCTGTCCCC